GGCATTAGTGACGTTTACGGAGCTTCATTCCTTTGAGTAATTATAATCGCAATTGATCTTATGCGACGTCTGTGGACATGGTCTACACTCTACACTCTACAGAACTTCACTTCATGTTCGTAATTGAGTAGGTACACATAATATAAAAATGACACTTTGAAGCAACAATGATTTTTGCTTCTCCAATAACTATTGAAACAATACAGGGTGTCCGTTACAATTTCAATTTTGTTATAAAGTCAGTTCCTAATATATCTTAATATATACCAGGTTTGTTGTTTTTTAACCAGTAATTGTTCAAGTATTTTATACATCTGCGAGGGCAAAATCTATAAATGGCATTGATAAATTCCCTCTGCAATTTCAAAAAAGTTCAAGATTTTATGAACACCCTATATGTCCTTTAACCCAATATCATTTAATATCTTGCTGATCCTTAGTCACTTTTATTGAAATTATTCTTTCCGGACGCGAAAAATGACATCCCCTTTGAATTTCTCTGGCAGTCTTTACCCCTTGTGTCACTATGCACATACGTCACAGACATGCGTTTCACCAAGTATCTCAGTGGTAAAATCAGTATGATATCTCACCCATACCGCGCAGTTCACTGTTTGGTAATTATCAAACCACGAATCAAGTCGAGATCATCCGAGCTTCGATTCGAGTCCGACATCAAGTTATCACATAGTTAAAGACATTCTCATAGAATTCAATTCCTAACTAAAAGAATGAAAAACCAGCGTGAATTACATTCTAACATGGGTATTCTTCCTGATAGTTCACATGATGTTTGTAGACCTTATTCATACGAAAACATTTAAGCCCAATTTTGATATGATTTCTTTTTTTATAACTACTTTGTTGCCTCGAACTTCAACACTCGAACAACTTGACCATTGCAGTGACGTTTTAATGCCCCTATGTAGACGTTACTTTGAGTCATTCATCGTTTACATATTTTAAGTAACCAACTCACATATAAACCTTCTCTTATTATTTTAGTCATCAATCAAAATTGTCAAATTCGTTAATATCATAATTGATCAAGCAAGTAATTTGTCTGAACTTATATCTAGGTATATTTAATTAATGCTTATATCCTCCCAAACGCTTGCCAACTAAATTATTCTTTCATTGAAAGTTATTGATGGTTTCGGTCGGACAAACCTACATATCACATCCTAGATGTCTTATCACATCTAAAGCCCTTGTCTGTCGCGTTATAAATATTGAGTGGTACTGGTAACTGATCTCGATGTCCACATGATCGTATTGATACCAGTTGCTATACAGTCTATGCCGAGAATTTGTTGCTTACAATTATATTTTGTCGTGTTATTGTTTTCTGTTTGACAAAACAACTAAACTCTCTACTTAAAATATGAGAAATCTGTTACTATTTCGAGATGTTTAAGACTTGAAGAACAAAACGTAATAATATATCAAACATACCTTCACATCAAAAATTTAATTCAAATTAATAATCGAAAAAATTTGAAAGAAACTTTAAGAATTATTTACAATGTTTAGTTAAATTTAATTAGCTGAGTCGAATTCAATTTAAATTTAGCATACGACTCGATCACTCTGCGTCACTCATTTCGTTAATTTTAGTCTCTCTCTCTCTGCAGAGTGATCCCAGTCGTACGTCAAATTTAAATTAAATCACAATCACTTGGCACGATGACATGAAACATGTTTTTCATGTCATTTCTATGCATAATTAAGTAACATAAAATATCAGAAATAGGAAAAAAATTGTTTGACACTATTTGAGAACATTTTTTAAATAAATTTTCTTAAAACAAATTCAACTAACTGTAAAATATTCTGTTATTCGTTTTTCATATCTTGTTCTGAAGCTTCCGACGAACACAAAAGTACTTCAGGCAACATTGTACTACAATATAAAAAATATACAGATGTATTTCATAACGTTGGCCTCCGAACTCTGCCTCCGTCTTTGACTTTTTGAATTTCATTGAATGTTACATCTAGTAGGGCGCGAAGTTCCGAGATAAGATTGTTCCTTTGAGTGTTGACTGTTTTTACAATACGGCGTGCCTATTTCCGAAATTTTGGTCTGTGATCGGTTCCTCATTCATGCAATAAAACACCATATGCATGCACCATTTCATGAATCACAACTTCCGATACCTTTCAAGGTTTGTCATCACTGATTTCATAAATAATTTCTATTTAATTCTATATTTCTTGGCGCCAATACCGGTATACCCTCACATCTTTATTTAGGTTGATAGTAATTAACAGAGGATCAATTGCTACAATAAACCTATAAGTACTCGGCGAATTTCATTTTCAAATTTTAGTGATCCTTGATTTCATCCAGATCGCTGTCACTGATTGCGTACCCGCACCCCACTGCCAGATTTACGATCATTTGACACTAGGGTTACCAACTATGAAAACTATATATATACCAGCTAAAAAGATATATATATATATTTAAAAATCGTCATGTGCTCTTCATTTAACATCAAGCTCTAACTTTGCAGTTGTATAAGTTTATAATTCTTAAAGTTATCTTTGTTCTGACTCTTTGCTGACTTCAGCAATTGTGGGTCACGTTTTATTTTTTTTGAAAATTCACGACACGTGTCTTCCAAGTTGAAGTATATAAAAAGCCCATTTTTTATTAGTTGTATGGAGCATCTGTTCCTTTCACTGCGCCATTTAGATGAAATTACACTAAAAATGCGTTCAAAATAAGCTGAGGTTCCGGGAATTGAGAGCACAAATGAAACTATTTCGAAAACATTAACACACTTAAGATTAAGATTTACTGCATGCTGTTTTGCATTCTGTGAACAGTTTAGTGCTTCGAATCGTGCCAAAATCTTTTTGAATGAGTGTAACTTCATCAAATAGGTCATCCATATTCAAATTAAGTTTGTCTTTTAGCTTCAAATGCTCTACAACTTTTACAAGTGGCTGATACTTTAGAAAAAGATTATCCAAAAGAGATGATTTTCCAAATGTTGAATTTTCATCAGAGTTAAATCTTTTTTCTAAATACGTTATTGCAGAGTTGAGAAATAATTTGAAATCTCCAGTTGCCTCTTGAGCTCCAGCAGCACTCACATTTGCAAGAAGTTGGTGAGCATCATACCCTAAAAATTCTTTATCAGATGGAGATTTTAACCTATTTCTCAATTTAGTAAGAATAATGAAAACATATGCTGTTGAAGTTTCATTTTTTCCAGTTCTTGAACAGGTAATTTAAATATCTCCATTACATATTGTGAGAATATTAAATACATTTCAATAAGCTGAGGAACTTCTGTTGACTCATTGTCAATCATAAGAAGTTTAAGTAATTGTTTGAAACATTCAGCTGGTCTGCTCAAGAAATAAGAACTTAAAGCTTTCCAAGGAAATAAGATTCTTTCGATGCATGGGTGCAAAGATAGCTGCAGAATTTCATGAAATTCCGTCTCTACAAATATATAAAATTCTATAAGAGTTTCTCGTCTTTTTGCTGACATTGAGACTTGACTGTAAATTTTTAAGACAATATTTTCTATATCAACATTCAAATTTCCTAAAGCTAATTTTAATGTATTATGTACAATGTGTGCACTGCAGTTAGCCTTAATAATACCATCCTTTAGTGTGCGAACATCAGTATAAAGAAAATGTTTTTCTCCAAGGTTGCAAGTTGCGTTATCTGCACTTAAACAAAAAACTCTTTTTTCCAATCAAGTGATAAATTGTTCATAGTGTTTTTCAAACAAGTGAACATTCCATCCGCACCTTCATCTGCATTCTCGAAGAAATCAATAATATAAGTAACTGTGCTTAGGTTCCAAGCTAAAATAAATATTTTTTTGGCTATTCAAGCCGGACCAATACGAAATTAAAAAGAATAATTAAAAGCTTCAAATACATAAATGGGGGCGATTTACGAACGGAACAATATCAAACACAGCACTATCGGACAAAACGATGTTGGAAAAAATAACAATTATCATCTTAAAAAGGACAAGAACAAAAATCTCAAATAAAGGATTGTCCTTCGAAATAAAGGACGGTTGGCAACCCTATTTGACACGCTCAATCCTATTTTGCTATCTACATTCTGACACGCCTCGTCCGTATTTCGTCACCCCTAACCTGACAACACGCAACGACCTTATTTCGACACTCCCAATCTGACACGCAACGACCGTATTTCGTCACCCCCAATCTGACACGCACCGACCGTATTTCGCCACCCCTAACTTGACTTGACGACCCTATTTCGTCACGCCCATTTTGATTCACACCGACCGCATTTCGTCATCCGTATACTTGCTTTAAATCTATTAGACGTCCAATATCGCTGTATCATCTATCTAAAAGTAAAAAGATAATTGTGGTAAATTAAGTTCAAATACAAAACCACTTTTAACTATACATATATATATTTTTCATATAATTACCGGAATATACGCTATGTTTGGTATTATATGGGTCCAGTCCAAAACATGATGCTTCTATCCGGACATGCGGAAATCAAATTACTAAATCCCGGGATTATATTCAAATTAATCCCGGGATCGGGATTGAAAAAAAGCTAAAAATCGCGGGATCGCAACACTATTCGGTGGTAACGTTGGCAGCTGGTATGCTAGTTACGGTAGACGCGTGTAGGGTGGCGCGACGGAAAAGCGCGAGATCGGCATCGTGTTGTGAATACGCTCACCATCGCATCTGAAGACCCTGTGTGGGATAATTATGTGCGAGAGAATTGCTGTACTCCCTGCCCTGTAGGGGGCTCACGTAATCGCTGGTCTATCTCAAGACCTACTCCACCATGAAGTCCATGCATCTGAAACGAAGGACCGGCTAACTAATCCCATGTATGTAAATACTTTCCTAGTGTGGAGCAGAGGGATCGTAGAAACGATGAGAGAGACCTGAGAAATAGCCACCCGATCTGTGAGAGTTGACCGCTTTCCCCATAACACAAACTATACAAAACGAGTTATGCACTCTTTCAAATACCTTGTTTAATTTATTTTATCAGAAACTGGAAACATAATGATAAGAATGTATTTACAAGAATAATATACTAATAAACATGTATATAAACAAATGACGAGAGCAATAACATAAAGATAATCGAAGTACATGAGATGAAAAAAAATCCATATAAACAAAACCAGTCATCCGACACTAAAAACCTTGGCGTGTGTGTGCACATCACACACACACACTGATTGCACATAAAATTTCACATATTATATCGGATATTTTATTCGATGGCCCCTTAATAATTATAAATAACCGATTTTTAACCTAATAATATTCCAAAATATGAATCAAGCGTGTATGAGTTTCAGATATTGATTAAATGAACTATCCTTAAGAAAACAATCCTGAATGTTGATAAGTGTTTCATCATTTCACGACATGACATTCCAATGATGTAATAATTTCTGAACAATGCGTCTTTGTCCAACCATATTATTACAATGATATTAGTATAGTCTTGAAAAGGTTAACTCAATGATTTGTTATTGTTAAATTATGATAACGGGTATACAGACAATGTGTGAGGTTGTAATTGGTTGATAGAATTAGTTATCTCAAGCCAGTTTTCCTTTCAGGGGATACTAAGTTAAAATAGGAGCATTTCTGAATTTTTTTTTTCTGAATTTCTGGATCATAAAGTAATGTTGATAATTTGATTGATCTTTCTAATTAGATTTTAGAACCTTGGGTGTTACTGTTCGATAATCTGGTTTGGTTCCCTGCGACTTTGCTTCCCCAGAAAACCGTACGATTATCTCTTTTTCGAATATTTCTTATGATTGTTTACACCTGGCTGGGAAAAAAATAGACTTGACTGGTATGCCTTAACGAAATTCAAAATATATTTTTTTTTCATTTGCATTTCCTGCTGACTTTAATGACCTAAGTTCTATATTTATGAGGGAGCATAACGTAGTGTGACTAATTTGAAATCAAATTTCATCATATTGCTTAAGAAATAACAATAAATAGAAAAATAGGACTAAGATATAAATTTGAATTAGCAAAGCGTCCATTCGTCACACAATAACAAAGTTTTTGCCATGCACCTGGCTTCTATTTATATGTTTAAATTAAAATTATAGTTTGTACGAACAAGATGAGAAATTTTTTTGAATGAAAGGCACTAAGGATAACCAATAATAAATACGATAAATACTTTTTTTAGGTGAAATGTCCTTGTATAATATGCAAACATCATAATATTTTTCAAATTTTATTTTCTGCTAGTCAACATGGTCATTGAATATGACTATATTTTGTTCGTATCAAAGCAAGGAGTGTTTTTAATCTATATTCAATGTCTGGTATACAAGGTGATATATCACATGATAAATGTGATATGAAACAATAGAATAATATGTGATTGTTTAGAATCTCGCACAAATCGCTTACAAAATCCGAGTGTGCGACGTTTTTGTTGGTGGGCCATATATCCAACTTCATATCCAACAGACATCTGTCTGGGTCACCGAAAAAAACTAATCATTGTGATGCAAAACTTCATTTAAACACTTGTAAGTTCTTGCATAGTTTGTTGTTATTAGCTTTGACAATAGTTAGAAATTTATACTTGATGGGGAAAAATCTGAGTAGTGATTATGGCCACACTAACGGCTTGGCGAGCAGGGGTTGTGGCCCGCGGACCGCCAGTTGCACACCTCTGATTTACATACTAGTTCTATAGCGATTTATTCAACAGGCAGTTCGAACCGTACTGAGATCGCTATTAGCGTAAGGAACACTTCATAATGAAATTTACAAAAAAAAATCAACAAATTACATGAATTTCAATGTAAATCCTAGCAATACTCCTCAAGTTCAAAAAGAAATTGATGATGACCCCTATCAATCAATCATATCTTAAATCATAAACATTAGAACGATTTGGCGATGATGGTTGAGAATTACAAGATGACAGGCTTGATAAAAAACATTAACACTAATGCTGAAGAGATAAAATCTCATATATACTATCATTCTTAAACAAACCTATTAGTAACACAAAAAGTTAAATCTTCATTAAAAATAGAAAGGGCAAGCACAATTGGACATAACTTTAAGAATTTTCGCTAAAAACCAAAAAGTTAAACATAGGTGATTTTATTATAGTCTCGAACTTAATCTCCATTTTTGGGTATAAAAACACAAATTTTAATTTTATGATTGGGGTAAAAAGTTTAAATCAAAAAATTTCATTATTAATTAAAAGAATAGACAAATAATAACAAAAAAAATGAAACTTTTTGATGATATATCAAATTTAGAATGATTGTTAATTTCGATAGTAAAAACAGGTTTTCATAATCCAAAAATTTCCTAAAATTATCAGAAAAAGGCATGAGTGCAGCAGAGTGTCGTAACTTATTACCTTATGTGTAAATTATGGCAAACAATACTCAACACTAAAATAGATACATTATCCCATTGAAACATGTAAATCGTTAAATCAATTGAAGGCATGAGCAAACAATAACTAAAATACTTTTCGAATGACGATTCAGACGCCATCTAGCTATATCAGCAAAAAAAGCTCGATTTTCTTCTACGTTGTATGCATTTAATTTTCGAATTACGTAACTTCAATAAGTTTGGTTGCCAGTACATAATTCAAAAAGATTGGAAAATATTATTTTAAGTCCAAAATGGAGATTTATTAGTTCATATATAAAAATTTTTTTTTTGAATTTCGCGAATATCTTTATGAATGATTATACTGGTGTAAACATCGGAAAACCTACATGGGGCACAATGCGGTTGGTACGAGAGAAGAAAAAAATTATCATTTCTCAAAAAGAAACCAATATTATTATAATAAGATACAGAACAGTAATAGTACGTGCAGGCCTCCTGTCACCAGCAAATAAAAGCAGAAAAAAAATGAACGAACGGAAAGGCGAAATAAAAAGGAAAAGCATAAAACGCTGCACTCTATGAGAAAAAAGGACTTGAGAGTTGGTGCAACAGTGGAATACAGTTGATGTGAAAATTAAAATAAAGTTTTTTTAACAATAAAATTATTATAATAAGAATGAAGAATAAAGTAGAGTGGTAAAGTTGATAGCCGTTGGTTCGAGCATTTATTAAAACACTCTCTTTTTTCGACAAGTGTACATCACTTGACGGAAGCAGTAGTGCATCATGCTCGACCGTGTATACGTTATAAGTTTCATCTAGGCTTGTGTGGACAATGTTCGTACAGATATGTATGCTATATTTCGATAACGAACGTGGTGGGAAAATACCCAACCTGAAAATCAAAATATTATATTTAAAACAGAAAATGTACAAAAAGGTATTCATTTAGAAAGGAATTAAGAAAATAAGTTTTCAAACAATGAAATTTCATATGGTTAAAATTAGGTATTTATTTCAAGTAAAAGAGTTTACCTAAAAGAAACGCATAATGAAATAAATACCGTACTATTTGAAAAAAATAGAAATTCAGATGAGAAAATGAAAATTATTACAGTATGATAGTATTTTATTTAGTATAAAAGATGTATTTATATCAAAATGTACTATTTTAAAAATTCAATTTGCAGCAAAGAATTTTGAAATACTAAACTATCTGTACGGAATATCCAAAAATCAAAATGTAAAGACGATATGATGACTGACACTAAAATTTACTTCACATCTGAAAAATCCCAGAAGTGCCACAAAGAGAAAGATCTTTACAATGAAACGAATAGAAAACGTCTTCTAACCTGCCCAGAATGTTCTCCTTTCCACCAACCATGCGAACTTCCAGCTTTACTGATAATATTAACGATTTGACCTGCTCGTAAACTCAATTCCTGTTCACTTCTTGCTTCAAATGGAAACTGTGCCCTCGCTTGGCCGATAATATCATACGAACGACCATTAACAGCTAAAAATATATGAATGTTAACATTTAGCAATGGTTAAAATTAGAAAATGTATACATATTATACTAAGAACAAGTGAAGCCAATTTTTGTGAGATTATCATATATACTTATGAATGCACAGATAATACATGTTATTTTAAAAACTTGTTCAAAAAAAAAATTTTTTTCGGTTTGAAATTGTTAATAATCAGATTGCCTATACCAGGGGTGTGCAACCTATATTACAGGTTGGCCAGATATGAATAACTGAATAAAACCACGAGCCGCACCTTTTTAAAATAGGCTTTCTAGTAGTTGCAGGCACAAAAATTTTGGTTACTGATATTATAACATGAGCTGTTAACTTCGCACAAGTTAGCTAGAATATAAATTGGAATCTGGTTTAGGCTTGTAACGCAATAGGATTGAAATTACTCACACATACCAGATGAAACTAAATTAAAAACTGGTTTCACGGGCCGCAATTATTTAAAATTGGCACTTATCCGAGGGCCGCACAATTTTTTCTTGCGGGCTGCAGGTTGCACAGAGATAATCTGGCGTATACCATGATTAAAGTTTTAATTCATTTGAGATAATTTGCTCAGAGCAAGGTCAAGTGCACTCACACAGAAATAAAGTAGACTCATCTCTGAGCATAGTTATAGGCAACGACTGAAAACCCACGAGCTACTGAACAAAATAAATTAATGACAAATGACGATTTATATTAAAAATGAAAGGGAATTAAAACGATTTCGATTCAGTCATAAATAGTTTTAGTTTTATGCATACGTAAAAAAATCTCGATCCAAATTTGGACTTACTTCTGATATCACTTTGCCAACCGTTTCCGTTTTGCGGACGTCTTGATACCCTCTCTGGAAAGAGATAAAAAAAAATTCGATGTAAACCGAGCAACCGAGATAGATTATAGACCACTTAAATAGCATTAAATGCTAAGCAAGCTAATGTAGACGTAATAATCTTATTATAATATGTGAAATATGACCCAGAAAGCCACAGGAATATTTATAAAACACGGTATTTGGAGATTTAACATGGCTATTCAGCCACCGCAAATATTTGCGAACGAGTCTACAGAAATTGATCAGATTAGTGAATATTTGACATTTGGCAACACGGGTCAAATTAAATTATTTTTAATGACCGTTTATTTGAGTTATCCGTGGCCTATGTCTTGCCAGAGATAAAGTTCTTTTAGATCTCTTAAAGCGCAAATTATATCATTAAGATAATACAACTGTTATAACACTCATAAATCCAGTTATACGCCAGCGTTATATGTTTGTTTTGAGACAATTATCTGATTATCCATGGTTATATTTAGGTCTTTTAGACCATTTCTCTTATTTTTCTTGGTGGCAAATTTTTCACGCGAATGAAATGATGTTTCAAGTAATAACAAATCAAAAGTACAATAACGATTATCCATGACTTTTCGGTAAAAGACTAGTTTGTGTGTGTGTGTGCGTGTATAACTAAATAGCTTGGCTTCTCACAATTGCATTGAATTTCAGCTGCCGAAATAGCATCATATTTAGCATGTTGGGCATGAAATCTTCAATCGTAATATTTCCGTTAAAGGATTGCCTACCCAGTTTATTAAACTTTGGGTGAGGGGGTGGACATCGGGATAGAACAAGAAATCTTAACCATGTTATGCTCAAGGTCCCACAGATATTATGGGGGAATTATGTGCGGGAGAATTGCTAATTAAAGAGAAGTTCCTATCTTTAATGTTAGGTGTGTATTTTGGATTTTCAGGTGTTTAGTTATTCCCAAATCTAACCTATATTGTCCATCATGTAATTAGGTGATCTCATTGGCAAACTTATCCTACAAAAAATACTGTAAGCCCCTGGTTCCTAACCTTTCACGACTCGTGGCCCCTTCCAGAGGCTTTAGGCACTCAAGGGCCCCCTGATTATCATTCCAGGGGTATGGGCAGGTTATTATGATTGGTGGATTTCAAATTTCAGTATGTTTGCACAATTCAAGATCAAGTTAAAAAAAGTGAAAACATCGTTGTGAAATATCCTTTTCGAGCAATGAAACTAAAAAGAACAAGCAGTTTACTTGTCAAAGACCAAGTAAAATCAGTTCTGCGCCTAGCATTGTGGCCCTCACTCCCAACCACTCTGTGGCCCTTGGGCCCCCAATTGGGAACCGCTGCTATAAGCATTTATAGTGTTATGGACCAGTGGTCGAAGAGTAGAACATAACTATGATGACATCGGGGGTTAAAATCTTGGGTTCAAATCCCATGCCCACTTCACATGGGGTGGGCGAAGATTACGATCCTTCAGGATCCATGTACAGAGTCTCGTTCAGGGCGAAAAACTTGCAAAAAAAATAAGTTATTTGAAAAATGGGACCTCCAGAAGTATGTGCACCAAGATGGCGCACAACTTGAACATAGTATGTGTACCAGGTTAGGGTTCAGGTTGTGCAACATCTTGGTGCACATACTTCTGGAGGTCCCATTTTTCTGAAGCGCCAAAAAATGTACTTACGACTTGGTTGAGGAGGATAATTGCTCTGTCTCAACGGTGAAATAGGTGAAGGCATTCCAGGAAACATGACTGGATCTCTGTATGGAAATCGTAATGTTGTTTCCAACCCCAGGAAAAACCCTGATAATGAGTTGTTTTGATAAAAGGTGACCAAATCCTGAAAAAAAAAGATTTGAATTATGATTTTACAAAGAAAAAAGGAATATAATGTAGGCTATATTGGTTTACGCTAATAAAAGCTATCCTAGTGGAGCAAACAACCTTGCATTGCAACCAAATGCTATTTATTTATTTATCTTTTAATAGAATTTGCTCAAAGGCAGACTCCACACTTTATCCAAAAGTACTGTAAATGGACTCAGCCTCTCCAAGTTACTGAAGACCACTCAAACGCTAACGGCTAACTGAAATTTTATGGATTTATGATGGTGCAGTACGCACCAGTAAATATTAACGGAAATCAAATAATGACAAGCTCAAGTAATTTAATAAAAACATGAAAAATATCATACAAAACTGGAGAAAAAAATGGAATTTATTTAGGATAAAATAACAAAATCTAGATTAAATTTGAGAAAAGATATTACTTCAAGAAGGCACTACCATCTTTAACAACAACTTTACTTAACAAAAAAATGGAAAAAACAGATGCTAATTATCCAGTACATCAAGATATGGCAATATAGCCTGTAACTTCCTGTGATTAATGGTGAGATAAGTTGGAAAGATATCAAACAAGATTGGTATCAGTATTGCTAATGACTTTCAACCTGTTTTCAAATTATTTTGAAAATTAGGATTGATTATATGTCAAAAAACTCGATTATATCTAGTCCAAAAAGTCATGTTTTTTGAAGTCTGCGGGATTGTCTATTAGTCAATAGCAATGGCTTTACATATGTTAAACATGAAGAGTGGGTACTCCCGAAGTATGTGAACCAAGATGGCGGACACTGGAACGTAGTATGTGTACTAGTTTAGGGTAAGACCATAATTTTATTCCAATTTTCCTTATTTTAGTTCTATTACGAGTCCGGGGACTAGCCAAGTGACTCCCGTAGTATTTGTACCTGAAATTATGGCCTAACCCTAACCTGGTACACATACTACTTTCCGGTGTCCGCCATCTTGGTTCACATACTTCGGGAGTACCGAAAAATGTTTAATACGAATTCAAATCATATGAAATCAATAATTCATCAGTAAATGGACAAAATGAATATAAAATTTATACTAATAATGAACGTAAATTATATATTTGTACCTGAACTGATTTGAAGTTTTTACATTCTGCTACATAATGCATACCGTCGTCTGTTTGTAAAATTCTTATATGCTTTATATCTTTTTGAAATCTGAAATGAAAATAATATTTAATATAACATGAGAATAATACTTAAAGGAGATAAACAATGATCAAAGACATGGACACAAAAATGAAGAAGGTTGTTCCGTCAATGTAAACATACATTGGAATTAGGAATTTTTATGCTGGAGGAGTGGAAAGCAGATAAAATGGCCTAATTATATGATGAACTACGAAATCTTGTTTGGCAACAAGTCCCTGCAGGGTATGAGAATATTTAGACAGTAATTTGTTTCAGATGCATGGCAGCATGGACTTGATGGTGGAGGAGGCCGTAACCAACCAGCGGTCATGGTATGTACAGACTTTTAGAGACGCTGGATTGGTCAATGCCCTGTTGCTATACTGGGTACAGTGAGAGGTATATGCTTTAATTTCCAATAAAATTTCTTCAATGATAAATGTGAATTTTTTCAATTCCCCAAATGCATATCTTATATATAAAATAACAGTTTATTACTAAAGAACATACTTTATTGTTTGATGAACAAAATTTCAAGAATAGCGGAACAAAACTTCCATAAAAATAAAATTGATCTTACTTGAGACTTATAACAAGACTTAGAGGAGCTTTTCTCCTTATTAAAAATGTTCCTGAGGGCGTATCCAATAACAATTTTTCTGCTTCATTACGATCAATCTCTCCAGCGTACCTGAAATATGAAGATATATATTAGCAATGCTAATAAAAAGACGTTAGCTCAAAAGACGCAAAGTTTTATTAACTTCTGTATACGAAGTAAGAGGCAGCATAGTAACTCAGTAGTTTCAGCAAGGTAGTTAGATTGTTAGACTTAACTATGATGGTCTCTAATGCTCAAATCTCGAGTTCGAAACTTGTGTCCACCGCCTTGCCCAGGGGTAATAAAACTGGGTAAGCAAAGACGAATTATAGTAGTTCTTATCTAGCAGCGGCTTCTTGTCGAGGGATTCGTTCAAAGCAAAAAGCGTGTGAATATGCCATATGGAAAAAAAAATTTTGAAACAAAGAATGTTTTTCAACCAAACTGCTGAAATGAGGGTAGGTAAGAATAGGTCAATTATCGTAAAACTAAATTATTAGATTATTAATTATGTTTTCAAAATTCAGTAGGTTATTTTAAATAGCCAGTAAGTCACTTGCATTGTATTTTGCGATCAACGTATAAAATAAATTATTTCGCTTAATAATCAATATTAATATTCATCTAAGCTAAAAACATAAATCAGTATGCAAAGTTAGTACTTCTAGATCTACAATATAAACAGCACACCTGTACACTAGAAAACTATATTGCATTAAACTTGGACCAATAGTAATCTATTGATACATATAAAAAAAGTGCAGATGTGTTATGTAAATGTTTTTGTTCTGTATGTCATGCATGACATGTGATAGTATGTTTGATGGGGAATAATGGAACAGTTGGATATTATAGGACTCCATACACCTCCAATCCATCAAGTTGTCCCAAAGAGTACCCAAGTCCATCGCACTAAGAAGATGAAGAGAGAAAATGTATCAGTTATCAAAAAGCAATCGCAAAGAATAATGAGAGAGAAAAGTCGATGAGAGGTCTTAACCATATAACGAACCACGGTTGAAAAAGAAAGAAGCGTTTGCTAAAATGTCATCTTCTGGTGCAAATTGAACTAAGCTATTTAACCTGATCCACTAACATCATTACATTAACATATGCTGCCATTACATTTTTCAATGTCTTGTTTAAAAATATCTGACTGATAGAGGTTATAACGTTGATTCTAACTATAATGGAGTCTCAGTTCAAAAATCCCTGGTTCATAACATGTGTCCACTATCTCACTGAGTGTGTGATAAATATGGCAGGCAGCGCTCCAGAAGTGTACCAATATGAAGGTAATTAATTTTGTTCGCCGTTTCGACATCGAGTTGTGTGAAGGGACTGAAGCCTATAAACAGGGGGTATAAGCACTCGACTAACACAGACAGTCCCTGATCTCGTAATAGAACTAAAATGAGGAAAATCGGAATAAAATTGTGGCCTAACCCTAACCTGGTAAACACACTACAGTAGTACCTAGCAGGCAATGCTAATTCGGGAAGTTATCAGTTCTCCCTAAATCAGTAGATGTTTACTGATCCATAGCTTTTCAGAGTGGAAGCTCGAAAAATCATATAAAAAAATAAAATGTTTCAAAAACTTGAGACTGATCAAACTTTCCTTATGCTTCGAAACACTACACATTTGTTGGTATTTTCAGAAAAATTTCTTTTATTTTTGCTGCACGTAATCATTTTCGCTGCACGTAATCATAATCTGAACATCACCATATTGTTTATATACATCTGGTTGCACAACATACCGCTTTCCACACAATTTAAAATTTAAATAAACCAAATCCAATCTATCATCTTATATGTAAAATTTTGACAGTAAGTAGGATAATTCATTATATTATCGTGCTTTTTTGTGAAATCAAATGTAATATTATTAATAAGATTTTTAGTTTTTACGATTTTATATTCGTGGTATATATCTGCTTCTAACACACTGCGATCTAACTGGATTATGAGGTTTGGCAAATAATCTATGTATGAAATTGGATTATCAAGTTCTGTTGAAGATAAAATACTTTCCAGAACTTTCTAAATCTTCTTGTATTAATAAGTATAATACTAGATTGTCTTTGGAAAACTTCAAACGTCAAGTGAGTTCAAGAAGAAAAATTGAAAGTGAAAATGACCGATGCGGCACTCCTCTTATTTGATTTGTAAGATGACAAATATATCTTTCTATGAAGAATGATGTCAGTGATGAAACAAGATCGATTTAAAAAAGTAAAATCCAGAACATTCTTTGGAGTGAAAAGCAGTTAGAAATAACAAGATTGTGGGAAACATTTAATGGAAAAAATCATGCAACATAATATATTTTCCCTGTAAACCTGTCTAAACTAGAATAATCCGGTCTGACTTTGCCTTTTTCAACTACTCAATGGACAGATATACTTTATCGCTTCTATACCTTAAATAATGAGCATTCCAATTATAATTACTGTCTTCAGCTGAAGTTCATTGGAAACATTTATAGGTAAAAAATAACTAATGATGTCTATTTTTATGGTAATTGAATTATATTTTTGTATTTTTCCAAAAGTTTAACCAAATCCAGATTTAACAGTAAACATCAAACACTGAGGATTATAATTACTCATATCTCGCATGGCCCAGAGTTATTTAGACTGAAACCAATTTTTCGATCACTTTTTTTAAAATAAAAATCAATTTTATAATTTATTTTAAACATTAGGCTAAAAAGCTCGCCGCTTTCTAAGAAGCAATCTACATACCAAACAAACACTCGATCCTACGCACTAATTGTAAGTTTCAGTCTACAGTTAGAACATGCTTCACATTCCCTGTCGATAGAGTAAAACTATAATATTAACGTACATGTAAATCCATGCTTAATGTTAATAAGCTACTTTGTTAGTAAGTTAATGAATTTTACCGGTAATAAACAAGTGTTTTTGATTACTAGATCATCAGATTACCAGACTCAAGAAAAAGCCTATAAAAACCAAGTCCATGCATCTGAAACAAATAACTGGCTAAGTAATCCCATGGGCTGGTAACCGGACAAGAGGCCGTGGTTCACCATTCGATTAAGTCGTATTATCGGCTTTCCTCTCCAATTTGAGTGCCTCCAACTTTGCTCAGAGATGAATCTCCTTTACTCCTAATATGACAATTATTTGAGGAAATTCTCAAACAGCGCAATTTTGAATGTTAAAATTACAATATGAAAAGTATAATTCTTACTTTATAATCATTTTTTGTATTAAAATATAACTTAAATATAGTGTCCAGGAATGGTTAAATCATCCTACAATAGGAACTACTGGTAATTCTAATCTATTAAGAAAATAATTTTTTAACCTTTAATTAACAAAAATCGTTCAAAAAACTTTCAATTTTTGATATCAGTCATATGTGGACTACTTAATATAATAATTTTTCGAATTAATAATTTTGATTATGCTTGAATATTTAAATTTCTTGAACATTTCTGCGTACCACAAAAAGGTATAATTCAATTTAATTAGTTCATGTTGAATTCAAAATTTTTTTGTTCTTGTAAAAATTGATAGCACTCGTCAAAGCTATTTAAATAGTATTCAGTACCATTATGACTTCAGTATCAAAAGGTGCTATTAAATATCATACCATCATGCATTAAGCTAGCTTAGTATAACATGCTATTCTCTCTCCTAATTTTCAACTAACACTACTAAATAGAAGTGAGAGATAGAAGTTAGAAGAAAGAAAGGTATTGTGAGCATTCCACCATGGCAAGAAGATTATTATGCAGATGATATCAGGAGTGCCATGTATATTAATACCAGTAATAGTTCTTTAGCTGTTCAGGACTGGATGGACATGGTTTTGGGGTATCAAAGTTTTCTTCGTGAAGTCGGTGATGACTATTCTCTTGCGTAACAATAACTGTGCTTGTCGTGTTGTTGTCAACTCGATGTGGACGCTTGATCGCTTTAAATTGATCCGCATGACTGCTGTAGTGTGCTTGTGATATGTGCTGCGTGTGTCATAAGAGGTAAAAAAAATAAAAAAAAATATATGTTAATATAAATTGAAATTTGTATATTAAAATAAATACCCCAATTGAAGGATATAACTGCTACTATTGTGACGTTATAATAATCACAAAGTAACATATACCAGTAACTTCAATGTTCACTTACATTTGCTAAAATGACCGAAAAGTGTATCGCTCAAATTTAACAATGGAAACGCAGATTCAAAATTTAGAATTATCCAATCGTATTTCAGTTGGTGTCTTAAGATTCTTTTTAATTTAAAAGTGAGAGGAATGAATAATTAGACCAAATGAGGTATGTTTTTAAGCCATTTTCATTTACAGTTCTCAATATGTCCTAAATTAGGAAAATTCAAATTTAGCATTTCGTATATCGGCAAATTTTTTCAATAAAATCCATGTAAGGCGAAAAATGTGATGGTCATTAACGTTGAAGATTCACATTGAAGTTACTGGTCCTTCTCATGAGGTATTTTCATACCAGGGTGATTCTTCCATGGGCTGATTATTTGAAGAAGATTGAGATGTTCTTTGTCTGGATGGGGTAGGAGGACTTCGTATCTGAGCTTCCATATAACTTTGTCTAGGAGCTCTCTGAGATTGCTGTTGGAATTTTTTGAGTTAGAAATTTGAAAACTCTCATTTGTATGGTTCGCAATAACATAGTGAAATCAGTTAAATTAACAATTCATGTATACAGCTATATGGTAATCGGCATGAAAAAATTTTAATTTGTGAAATGACAGTAAAATTAAAATGAAATTACGATGAAATCTATACAGGATTATTTAACTAGGTAAATAAAATAGATAACGATGAGTAATATTCAACAACAGTAAAGAAATGCCCATTCGATAAATAGGGATTGTCTAATAAAAATTTTTTTTTAAATGAAATTGGGATATTAAACAAAATAATTTTCAATAATTTAAATTTATTTATTGCAATGAAACCATTATAAGTTAAATTTTACCAAACTGCAAAATGAATCCAATTATAGTTTTAATCAACATGACTTGGGATTTGAAAATGTATAATACCAAATAATTTGGACGTACCTATTGGTATGATACAAAAGACAACTATTTTCCATCTCAAATATGACAATTAATAAATATCACTGTTCGCACACACAATATCATTTCATATTCTATTCATTGTCTCAATAAATTGTGTCTGCCATAGACATTGGTAACACCAAGAACATTTCTTTACTATATTGAATATATAGCCTTAGATTTAGAAAAAAGCACCAAAAATTAGAAACACTGAATTACTAGTACTAACAACTACACTAACAACATACAGGCATGCATTCTACACGTATTTAGTATTATTAATACACAATGACAAATCAAATTCTAAGCTTCAATTTTCCCTGATTAAAATATATTATGTGGCGAGGCATGACATGGTAAAACAATTTAATATAGTAAAAAAAAAAACTAGGGAAAAAGCCAAACGAGTTTAGTTTAACCAACGTTTTGATTAGTTCAAAATATTGGCTGAATTATATCATTCGCTTATTTCCCGTTGTGTATGATTTGCTATGAGTAAGCCCAGCAGCAACCAATCGCTATTATGAACTTCGTCCAATTAAACTTTAGACCAGGGTGATGCAAACCCAGACCACATGTGGCCCGGCCATATTTGCTGGGGGTTATCAAAAATTCACATTCAATATTGTTTCGTAATAAAAATACCCAGAAATTTGGTTTTCATATTGTTACATCACTAATGTCATTAAATTGACTAGTGTTATTATGGCTAGCTGCCACAACCAGCGAAGTTGATTGATTTGTTTGGTTTGCCTAAATTGTTAACTAGCTTTCTATCTTTCCTGTTTGTTTTATATTGCGCTGTCACTAATGTAGCCCGCTGAAAATGCGAAAATAATTTTGTGGTCACAGATGCTGAACACCCTGGACCACCTTGTTTTAGACAGGTTTTAGAAATAGTAATTCAATCTATCCATATTACTTAACATAATTTAATTTCCAAAATATTAATTTTTTTATCTTCGATAAAATGCCATAAATTTTCAATTTTTTTTTTACACTAATGATTTCATAATAGGAATTATCTGTAACAATGAGTGATGTATGAGAAATACAAAGCAATACAAACAGCTTATCGATGAAAAATCATTTAGGAGAAAAGTACCTTGAAATTTGTAAAGATAATCGTATTACAACAAATTTGAAAAGAATTTTGACTTTTATCAACAAAGCGGTCGAGTTCATTTTACTATTTACTTATTTATTTTAAATCTAGTTATGCAAGTTTTTGATGAATATTTGTAGAAATAAAAATTGTTTGATTGTGTTTCGGATATAAAAATAATCACTATTTCACATCAAAACTGATCTTGACATAATACATCAAAATCTAGAAAATTTAATCCAAATTTGAATGAACATTGAAATTAACAATATTGGAAAAGAAATTAATGAATTTTACTTCAAAGGAAAATGAATTTTACTTCAAAGGAAAATGAATTTTACTTTAATAACTTTGCAATAGTTTCAAACTTTGCAAACAATTTTTTCTAATAAAAATTAGAAGCAGGGTTGGAAAAGAGTTGCGTTCCATATATTTATTTATTTCATTAGGATAACGTTAAGTATGTGAATTCAGTTGCATTCAGCTTATTAATTAAAAATAAAGAATTGATGACTATGCTTGCATACTTTTGGATTAAATATATCAATATATCACAAAAAAATTGAGATCAAACTTGATTCATTGACGAGCAAAAACGTACGGAACAATCAATAAGGTATAAGTCACACAGGCGTAAATGATGTACAAAGTTCACTTTTTTATTTTTCAGAAAAATAAATTTTTTTTTTCTATTTTTTGATATATATGATAGCAAGAAACTTTAGAAAGGCGGAGATATTGAAAGGGACAAGAATATGCTCTTAGAAAAAATCATCTCACATACATTGATTTTGCCGTGAATACTTAATGAAATTAGGAAGAACGTTACTCGCAAAATTCATTCATCAATCATAATTAGCTTGTGCAAATTAGGTTTGAGTAAGAGTAACATGGATATCAAATAAAACCAACAAAATGAAGTGCTATCGCTTTGAAATATTGGAAAATTTAATTCTTTTTTTTAACAGTGTTTACGAAAGCTAAGAATGATGAACTGAAAGTTTGTTATTAAGGTATTAAGATCGCCACCAAGCAAGAAATTGATATATGAGAAAAATAAGCCGAGTGCTGACAGAGATTACAGAGAAATTTGATTCCCAAGTGATTGAGTACAAGGATGAGAAAAGCCGCAGATTCTCATTACCACATTATTATCAAGATAACGTTACGATATCACTTGAAAGTAGAAATGTTTCGTGGAAATTTGGTATCGAAAAATTTTAATCTCATTTTCGACCTGACATGCCACGCGATATACGGGAAATTATTTTTTCTCTGAAGAATTTTCGAGCAAAACATGCATTACCATTGTATTGAAGATTTTTCTATGAAATAGAATGCCATCTTCAACAAAAATGCTACTAGATTTGTATAAAAATCTAATTCTGATTTATATGTAATTACTACAAATTAGCAGCAAAGAAAAATATATATGAAAAGTTTTGGATTTGAAAAACTTTCGAACTTTTGATAAATTTCGAAAATATAATTTACGCTCGTTAACATAACATTTTAAGAATTTGAGTATGATTGATACTCAGGAAGAAGCGGATGTAAAAATATTTATTACCAGAGTTTCCGTTCAATAGAAAATTTCTCCATAACGGCTTTTAGCGTTGTCAACAATACTTAAATTACCTTGAGAACGAATACTAATGCGATAATAACAAAATGGCCCTTTTTTTAAATCCTATACTATCATTGCTCGTAAAAAAATTGGAAGTTTATAGCGCGAAAAATGCAGCAAGTTTTTATAGCAGAGTGACTATAAATTTGTCGGTCACTTTTACCAAAATGAGGAGAATTTATTTAATTTTATTTACACAAGAAACTTCTGTTTGTGTAACCAAAAATTGTCAGCAATCAAGGATATTTCCAGCAAAAGTTATTTTCTCTATAGGATATGTTTTAAATGACATGGGTTCTGTTTTATTTTTAGGTCGCACTGTATGTTTAACTAGAGCTCGATAATTTTAACGAAGTTCAAGCTCAGTTTTATAATAAACTATTTAGGCTAAAAAATTTGTTAAAAAAAGACTAATGCCATCACCACTTTCATGCATTATACTATCACCTACAAAAACTAGTCACCAAATAAAAAAAAATATCTACCGAAGAATCATCACTGGCACAAACAAAAGCTGGGTTTCCCTTTTCTGTATTAACACCGATCTGGACGATTCACAATAAAAACAGAAATAAAATCAAAATTGCAAACCAAAAATTAAATACAAAAACAAACTGGACGATCATATTATGCATTTAAAAAAAATTCTAAACAAAAATAAATTCATAAAAATGAATGTCCCCGAATAATTTAAATACTTGAATGATATTTGAAAAATTAAGACAATATGAGACAATTATTGTAAATATTATTTGAATATGGGAATTATAATCAAATCATCAATTATGATAAATCATTATATTTTGATACCACGATTTTACTGCGTAAAATAAAAAAAGTTTCCAAAAAGAAAAAAAAATTCAACACTTTGGACATGTTAACTCGTTAACATACAACGTAAGGAACAACATATTAACAACTACAATATTCAGATATAGTCAATCATATATTACTAAATAGTAAATGGTCAGTGCAGCTAAAACTTGGCATTCACCGAAAATTTGTTATTTACCAATAATAAGTTATGATATTTACTGGAAATTTACATGAAAATGGATCAATTTAATATTTTTTCTAATCCAAATGCTTGAAATATATTATTCTAAATAATTGACTCCCTAATAAACACTGAATAAAATAAAGCAAATCTGCTTGAGATATATTGAGAACTGAATTGAGGATTGTAACAAATTGATGACAAAATTTTATTTGTTTGTTCGTAATAGGACTTTCTGAACATCTTGTACTATACTGTTATACAACAATACAACTCAGAGAAAAAACAGAAAATAGGACCCGAATCTGAATATTGCATTTGTGTGATAGACAGACGTGACATAATTTTACATTTTCATTTTACGACGCTGACACAATTACGATCCTTTCACTCACCATGGTATAGTAATATAAAAACTTGATTGCAAAAAATTAAATTAAGAATTTAATTTTTAACGAAATTTATGTGAAATGTAAATAAGTGCAGATCATATTTTTATAGTGATTTAATTATTTAAAAAAAGATTGTGATGAAATAATCAATTCTAAAAGTGTGGATGACACACAACAAAGAGGATTGCAAATAATTTAAGAAAAATTACTGTGTAAATCTCCAAAAAAATCTTTTACAAAGATAAAAACAGCTATTTTTAAAGTTATATTATACAAGGTATCCCAAAATAAATGAAACCCATCAATTGGATTACCAATTTTGTGGATTTCATTTATTTTTGGACACCTTGTATAAGCAGTAAGTGACATTTACCATCTATTAAACGTGGCCCAATAATGAAACATACTGACAATACATACTTCTTCTTTGGGCCATGTGAGATCAGAATGTATTATCACCCTATTCAAGGATGAAGCTTTCGCAGAAATTCATTTCCAAATTTATTTTAAATTTAAATGAGAATCGATTTGATTTGTATATGCAAAATAGTCCAATAAATACCAAAGGAAATTTCATACAATAAAGTCTTACCGGGCTGACATAGGATGCAGGAAAATATCCAATTTTATCGTAATTCGCAAATGATTTCCCCTGTAAGAAAAATAGGTACAATTTAGAAAAATACAAGAAAGATTTCATGAGAGATAAAAGTATAAAAATGAGGCATGTCTATAAAAAAGAAAATTGGTGTAAACTAATTTCCCTATCTGATCTTATTTTGTGATATATTGTAGCACGCGAGACGTCCATAACGGTATCTTACACACCCGCCTGTAATTTGGAACTATTATTAATAACTACTTTCTCCTAACGTTTGAAAAGGCTTATTTCGCTGAGTTCACATAGGGCTGTAAAGATTTTTGAAACACGTATTTTGAAATATCATCAACCAGACATGATCCATAGATAAGTATCACAAACAGGCTTATTTTAATAGTATCCCATGCATGGTTAAATAGGATTTTTGACACAATAAACACAACAATTTCAAGATGTTATTGAACCAAAATGTAGCATTTATGATTGTCCTGTTTGGCAATTTACAATTCAGTAATATCCCAACAGAATGTCATATTTTTTTTTATCTACTATGATTAAATTGACAATTTTCACGATTTGAAACATGAAAACATAATTTTTTTCAATTATTTTTGATAACTACAATAACGGAAAGGTATGCGGCCTGTAATTCTGAAACCGTAATGCCTATAAAGACCATCAGTCACGCAATGTTTAATCTCGTTACTTGGTTACATGAAATAAAATGCGTGAAATTTCTTTGTCAAAATGATTCAGTCTAAACTCCACAATAACAAATTTTCAATTTTTTTGAGGAAAATACAACAAAAAAATGATGATTTTTACCAAAAAAAGTTTTATGAAATTTCACGAAAAAATAATTTTTTTGTTAAAAACAAAAATTTGTAAATAAAAAAAAAATATTTGTGGATTACAAAAATGCCTAAAACAAAGTTTCATTTATGTTTTAATAAAAAAATGGCATTACTTTCGCTTTTGCAATAAAAATAAACTAACAATAGTACAATCCTAATGACATGATGACCAGATTTGAAATTCGAGTTAGTTATCAGACAAGCGGTTACACGGTTTAATTTTGTAATGAAATATAATACGGGAACAGGATATTGAATTATATTTCAATTTCTAGTTGAACGTAGATGAAAATTTGAAAAAAAAAATGGCCGCCAAAGTTGACAAAACCATCCAACATAAGTATCACCACTAGACTTTATATAAGTGTTGTAATATAGTTAAGCGGTGAGGCTTATGGTCAAAGCGTTAATTAACTATGATGGCATTGCGGGTTAAAATCTTGGGTTCAAATCCCATACCCACCACCTACCCAGGGTGTAACAAATTTGGTAGCTAATGCTGAATTAGAAAAATTCCGTTCCCTTCAAAAAAAAATAGGTAGCTTTAACCTAGTGTTGGCTGCTTGTGCGGAGACTTGTTTGGAGGGAATTGCATATTAATACGTCATATGAAAAAATCAGAAATTACTTATCTTTTCGTTAATAGATATATATAAAACTTTGATGGAATTATGACGTTAAATAATTTTGTATTTTATTTCACTTCATTCTACCTAAATAAATTAATGATAATCGTTTTAAACAAAAAATTTAATTGTGGTAAAAAGTGACATGGAATTAGAGATAACATTGTCCCAACCTACATTTTAAACTGATGAACTTGTCTACGGCATAATTGAGGATGCGATATTGAGATAATGTCAATGTACATAAATAAACACAAAATTTTCGTCTCACAATTTAATGACATTTCATCAAAAAATTATTAAATTTTAAATTAAAATTGTCACGAAATATTGAAATGAATATTATAATATATTTTTTTTGAATAATTTTGGGAAAAATAAAATGTATATGTTGAATATACTATCTAAATTATGGAAAATGAGACTACTTGTGCTAGTAATACTTGGACATGATTTTGAGTAAAACTAGTATTTTTCTATTTTACGATTATTAAAACTAGTATTTTTCTATTTTCAAGTGATATACATACTTCTACAAGTAACTTGTACTAAAGATTTTAAAATAAAAGTTAAAGTCATGTCCAAATGACTATGAATACATCTTCTAACTACAAATTTAATAAAATTGACAACACTAAGTTCTTATGCCCCTTTTTAAAGAAATTTTCATAAAAATACCTTATCGAGTTCAAATAAACATTTGGCTCTGACTAATGAGGAAAAATTTGATTCTAAAAGTTTGTTTTTCAAAATAAAATATTTTCCATGTGAGAAAATTATTATTTCGCATAATATTCACTCAATATTAGTCATATAATCCCTGAAAAAACAATGATTTCACAACTTTTTTCAGAAAAATGAAATGTCATTATTTATTAATAACATAAATAAAAGAGAAAGTCCATTGACTGCAAAATCATAGTTACATTTTTTAACAATTAACAAGTATTTTACATTAACAAATAGCTCTCTATCGTAATCCCAGGAATTATTTCGTAATCGTTCGCTTAGGATTTATTTTAAATGTCGCGGCGGGCGACCGGTACCAAACCAGGGTCAAACAATGTTTATAAAAATAAAACCCTGGAATTTCGCTGACTTAGAGAAAAATTACACAATGACGTAGATTGTCATAATTCATTGTTTGTTTTTCATTTAAAAAGGCGAGGTTTCTGCTAATGACTAATACCGTGGTATCCATGAAGATATCACAAAAAGATTGAAAATGAAACACGAAGGAAAAATTTAATTATAATATTCAGATCGCATGAAAAGTAATAGATTAAATATTGGCCAAAATGCGCAATGGAAAATATAGCCTATAACGCATTTTGAGTTTTCCCCTTAAAATATGAAATTTCGATTGAAAAATGTATTTCTAAATTAAAAATAGGTGAACAAAACGACATGTTAAATTATAATTTATCTGTGCTGAATTTTAACTTAAAAATATTGAAATTACTATTCTAGAATCTAAAATACCAAGTTTTTTGTTTTTTTACGAATCCTTTCCTAGCTGACTATGCCCCATTATGCGCCACAATATTGGTTAATTTTGCATCATTTATCATTTTTAATCACATTTTATATATTTAGTTTAATTTAGTTTAAGACTAAGCATGGCATAATATGAAATAAAGACCAATTATACTTTATTTATCAATGGCCAATACTTGATACTGAGTTATACCCCTACATAGAAATTTACTAAATAAAAGTTTAATCTAAAATGGGCCAATTTTTACAATTGCATTATGTGTTACTTATGTATTAAACAGGCTTGATAGTATTTAAAAAATCATTTTTAAATTGATAACAATGGTTTATTTGTTGCATGTTGTTATCTCTAAATAATAATAAAAATAAAACTCCAAGAATTCAAGAATAACGTGTTGACACGAAAATTGGCACGAACACAAACAAATAAACGAATATTTTAGTGACAGTCTGTATATTTTAAAAACTGATTCGATTAGCGTTAATTGTTATTGTTTAAGCGACACCAAGATTCTGAGTAATCTGAATATCCACCATCGTAATACGAAAAGCCAATTTATTAAAATTCGATTATCTTAGTCAGAGAGGTAGAACGGATGAATTAAATAGTGAAAATGATTGTAAAAATGAAAATTTGGTTTATCAGATTCAAGTTAAAATTGATTCAAAGTTTGGTCGAAAAAAATTGAATATGAATTTACCTCCCAAAAAATTGTACGATTTAGGAAAAGGAATTTTTTAAAAAATCGACAATAAAAACTTTCTATCTCCATTTGCGAAATAATTTCCATTAGGGTTTGAAAAACAATTCGTTTCGATATAAAATTTGATACGTTTCATACTTGCATAAGTTTTAACATATCGAGTCAAAAATATTGAAAATTCAAATTAAAATGGAGAAAGATGCAGTTCCCATATATCCTATCTTTATTTCTATCATAAAAATAAAAAACAGAAAATTAAAAATACTATTTCTTGAATATTTAAACTAATTTGAGATGCTCTTAATAATTTATACAAAAGTTTCCAAATTTTATTTTATTCTAATTACTATTTCAGATAAATTACTAAATACAGATTATATTAAAATGGTGGTATCTATTATTTATTCTCCTATTACAAAAATTTATTATTACATCTCCTACAAGCTACAAGATCGCCATTCGTGTCAGTTTGAGATATAAGAAGGTCATTATTAAATTAAAAGACAGATAAAAATTAAGCGGTGAGGTCGAAGCATAACACAGAAAAGAGAATTTCCTAGAAATTACCGATTGACGCAAACTAAATCTTATCAGAGAGCGATCTTTCAACAAACGTCGATAAGATCGAAAAAAATAATTAAAACGAGGAAACAATGTAAGCTGCCGGTAAACCAAAACATGTTTTTTTGCTTTGTTGGGGCGTATTATCATGTTTGATCAAATTTGGCCTTTAACGTTATTATTCTTATCCTTATCAATATCAATAGATAATTTTGATGCTATCTCCGAGGAAATGTAAATAAACCCCCATATCAGGGGTAATATATGCAGATGGCTCAAAGGAGGAAGGGATTCTTAGTAACCCAAAAAAATTAAAATGTTATTAAAACATGGTTTTGAGTTGTTTTCGCAATAAAGATGCAAGGAATTAATGCATAATAAGATTATCAATAGATGTAATCAGTAATGAAAATTTGTATGCATAATTCTATGTTTTGACACAAATTGTGCAAAATTTAGTTTTAATTTCGGCAATTGCATAAATTTTGGGAAGAATTGAGAGACATGCTAATTTACTCAGTAATATTTGACCAAGTCATTTTTTCCTGATAAATCTGAATTTTTTTCTCAAAAACGATTTTAACCTATTTTTTTAAATTCTATAATATTCTGTGTAGTGATGTCGCATTTTTTAACCTTACTTTACTGAATTTTCGTTCTGTGTGTCTATGTGGCCTATGGAAATAAAAATCACAGATTTTAAATTTATTAGATTATCAATTCTACAAATTTGTTACTGTTACATAACAAAAAAGCACAGAGACTGATTCTAGAAATTCTACACACCTTCCACCAGTCTGAAGTAACTTGTTCCAAAACTTCGATCGGTTCGCCAATGTTAAAAGTAATGATAGGAGCATTTGGGAAGGGCGGTGCCGGTGTTCCTGTATATTGTCGATGTGCCTTGTAACTTACTGAAAAAATAATGGGATTGTAATAAAGAAATAAGTGAAAATACGCCACAAATAATGTAGCCCCAATTCAATGATTTAGCTTAAAGCAGGCAGTCAATCCATCAATAATGAATCAAAATGTATAGGCCTATCCTTACTTATTATGGTATTTAAAAAAGGCCATTAATTTAAAAAAATTCCCAAAAAATCTAATGTCTTACAAATCTTACTTTAAAAATAAGATAACAAGATAGGCTGCTGTTTAAAACAGGAGGAACAAATGGCAATCGTCTACCTTAAATAAATAGTGATAATCATGTTCAATAAATTTTCATTTCGAAGAACCAAGAACATTTCATGACTGCTAAAAATTATATTTGACAAGCAGTATACAAAATATATTATGAAATATTGATGGAAAATAAAAATTTTATTCGAACAAATTTCGCAATAATTTTTGCAGAAATTATAAAAAGCGCTCTTTCATAAACCATTCATTCGTCTTCATACTTGTCAACATCGAAATATTTTGAGGCGAATTAAAACCAAAGATTAAAATAATGACGCACATCAGATGATTTAGGCCGCATATTTTGTTCTGGAGAATAGGACTGTCAACTTTTAGATTACGATTGATCACTCAAGTGACAGGTTAAGAATATTTACGTGCCACGCAGTGGCCTAGTAGGTAAAGCATTAGGCTTAAACATAGTGGCATCGTCAGGTTCAAATCCCATGCCAATCACCTCACGCAAGGTGTAAAAACTGGGTAGATAGTGCCAAACCAAAAAGATTCCGGACCTTTGTGAATATAGTAACCCCTTGTTTGTCCGCTTGGTTATCCAGAGACTTATTCAAAGCGAAAAGCATATAAATACGCAGAGAAAAAAACATCATTTCCTATTTTTATTTTATTTAATTTCAACAAAATGTAAAAAATAATACAAATCTATTTTTTTAACAAATCGATTCTTTTATAATGACAATTATTTTTTAGATCCTTGATTCCATATTGCCATAGGGCTTACATCTCCAATAATGCGGTATATTAATAAGACATAGCATAAATAGATGGTGTCTCGAAAGCAGGGTTTTGAAGAGGTCATAAAGCGATTCAAAAAGACTGTTAAATGCACATTAATATTAATTTAAGTCCTAGCAAAGATATCCGAAGAAAAATCCAACATCAAATGTTTTCATCATTACAATCGGTATTACCAGTATTGGAAATAAAAATTGTCATCAATATATTTCTGAAGAAATGATGTCTCGGAAAAAAGTCTGAACTATTCAACCAAAATTCAAAGAAATTGGATTGATAATAATTAAAATCTGAAAATTCGAAAACAAACGTCTCAAAGTTCACTTCTAAGAAATTTGAAATAGAGCCAGTAATAAAGTTTACTGCTGGTAATTAAGAAGCAATGGATTAACAAAATATCGCCACAACTATTTCATGAACATAATCTTTTCTGTTAACTGATAGCAATCTTCGATGAATCAAAATAAAACAAAGACACGCAACCTTTAACTTACATGATCCGACTGTGATCGATTGACTGCTGGGCGGTTTTTGTCCCTGTGAAGGATTTGGCCTCTGCGAAAAAAAAAACTTTGGTCAAATTTTGTGACTACTAAGTCGCAAAGATAAACACAAACACATGATGACAGACAGGTGCAAACACGAATACATGAAAATTTGCAAATATATATACAAAAATGACGTGTTACCTTTCCGCCACGCTGTGGAACAGGTGGTGCCTTGTCTTTGTTTCGACCAGCTAGAAAAATTATTGAAAAAAAAAAATTAAAAAATTAGCAATATACTTCAATTTTTTTTTCATCAAAATGTCATACAGGGTGATTCAAAAAATCAGAATCCATAAATTACTTGATAACATCTAAAAAATGAAAAAAAATTATTCGACACATGAAAGCTTGAACTTCTGTTTTGAATGATTGTACCCAAAAGTTTTAGTAACTTAGGGACTTTGCACAAAAGTTAGGTTCTCTATAATATGTTCCAAATGAGATGGATTCTGTTTTTTTGTAGGTCTTATTCAATTTTTTCTATACATTTATCCACGCTTATTGCTCTGGAAAAGTTCCAGTACAAGCAAGCAGCTCCTGCTCACAAAATATGGTCATATTATAATCTTTTATTGTTTTCAACATAAAGATGTTTAGAAATTCAGTATATCAAAAATTCAAACACTAGAAGTTATCGTTTTAGTCAAAAATTATCAATACTGCAGTGGAATCAAAATACCATGAAAATTTCAACAAATTACAACACCGTTCGGGTGTAGGTAAACTTTTAGAGATGAATTTTTACAGTGCAGAAAGAAACTGTTTCAATTTTTATTATTTTATTACTATGGTACAGTTTTTAAAAAAGGAATTTGTATGAATTCATCTAACTGTCAGATATCAATTAACGTCTACTAAATACTAAATGAAAATATGCTAACTTTTCTCTCAACTTCCTAAACTACTATATAAAACATAAGAGATTCCATAAATCTATTCAATACTCAATTCATTTTTAAATTTCCCTGTATATTACAATATAAACTTTATCATGAATTATTCTCAACAAAATATATAAACTCTTTAAGTTACATTCTTTGAATACTATTATTGATAAATTTATGTGTTTGTCAAAAAGAGATTTACTACCATTCTCTGTGATTACTTTGATTAAACCTAAACCCATTAAATTTATAGTGAATCACATTATCACAGCTGTATAAGTGTATGGATATAATTTTTGACTGACAAGCATGAAATCTTAATGCTAAGAAATAACCTTACAAAACATCTGATTAAGAGTTGTAAGTAAGGTAGGAATGGGAAATTGAATGGATTGTGTTAAATTAGATAAAGAATACTGCTAAATTGTCAATTCAAATTCCAATTTACTGTCTTTTCTGTAAAATTTGCTATTTTTTTTAAAGTGAAATTTATACTGAATTTCACCAGGTGATATATTTTTATTTTATTACGAAATATGATGTATTTGAAATATTCAAAATAGGAATAAATCGTGAGATATAATATTATAATACATATGTATTCCGATATGATCTTCCCTAAATTTATTGAAAAAATAGAATTATAAAAATATACATTGAATATTATGATACTAACGCAGATATAAATTTATTTATTGGCTTGGTTTACCATAATACAAAGATAACAGTATCAGATTTTAATTACATTTTCATTTTGTTGAAAGATATTACTTAAAAATATTCAAAATAGAAATAAACGTAAGATATAAAACTATAACATCTAGATATTCAGATTTAACAATCCCGAAATGGGCTGGGGAATCGAGTTTTAAAATTCTAATGACACTAACATTTATGTAAAAATTGTGACTTGGTTAACAATAATACATCAGATAACTATAAATTATAAAGTAATTTGCCTGAGTGTAATTGAGTAAAATGAAAGGAACATGATCAAGGAAACAGGCATACCTTTTGTAGATGCGTCTATTGCTTTATCTTCAATCAATTTGAGAGTGTCAGCGAGACATTGTTTGTGGCATCTGGCATTGGTAACTGTTGAAAAAAACCTCTTGATTCTTGACATAATGATGATCTACTGCTATAATTCTAATTCGACTATTCTATTTAACTGTTTAATATTGATTCAATTAGTTTTATGAAGGTATCAAATTTTCAACATAGCCAAGTAGGAATGACCCCCTCACCGGTGCATTCGTATCCCTGGTAAAATATCCCTTTGAGAAGGAGCTGACAACTGCTGCATGTGGTGGGTTCTGCGAAGGTCTGCATCTCGAAATTGTGCTTCTTCCCCTTTAGTGCCCGAGGGCTGATGTTATCACTAGGTCGAAAAAAGGCCAAAAGATCTTAACAATTGATGGTATCGGCGAAAATTCGTTGAGTGACGGAAAAGCAAACAATTTTTCCATCCGATACCAATCTCATCAAAATAAAAATCGCCAGATTATTTTACTAACGTCACTGGTCATTATCGCGTTACGGCCACAAGAAAGCGGAATGAAAATATAACGATTAAGACGTCATAGTATGCTTTCCTGGAATCAAGAAAACGATTATTTGGATTGTTCCAGTGATTATTTGTTTTATCCGCCATTATTACGATAAGACAAAAATTAGGTCTGGGAAATACGAAGAACAATACACTATTAGAAATAAAATTAAAAATTTTTCAAAAGCGTTTACGCAGAAATGAAAAAAATAAACAAGGTTAATAATAAATACCGAAACTAAATGCTTGTAATGACACGTATAAGTACAGTGTGTTCTCATTGACTGAAACCTATAATTTACTAAAGAGAAAAGGCAAACAGCACGTTCCAATAAAAGTCAGCAAAATGATTCATATAATGAGATTATAACAAGTAATAATAATAGTATGATAAGAATAGTTACATGTTAATTTACGATCACCTACCTTATTGTTCGAGTGGTTGCCGTCCCGTTGCATGTTACATATATATTTAACTCCATCGTTTAAAATTTTAACAAGCCTATTTATGGCTTAAGTTAATCTACTTTACCTGACAACAAAATGGTAAACTGTAGTTGTAACTTATTCTAAAGAGCTTGATTTTTAAACCCTCTGCTTCCAGAATAAGATAAGAGCTCGCCTCTCTCCTTGAGATATTTCAAATGATCAAGCAGAAACATATGAATGACGGTATTCATTATCTGAGCCTGCCTAAGGGCAGAGGATTACGTTCTGGCATCCGAAGCCTGTGACAGTCTTTGGCACTATCTCACTTTTCTATCATTCCTAACTGAAATGAGATAACACTCGTTCTCGTATAATTGTTGATTTGTTTACGACCCGATAAAGAATACGATAAACAAATAACAAGCATCTCTATAATGTCAACGTCGGTATCAAGCAAGAGCGAGGAATTCATGAGTGATGTCATTAGCAGAACGAAAAAAGAACGCCAGCCACTTAGAACTTACAACCGCTAGACCGCGACACTCTAGAAACCTCAATCTTCAATAGGAGAAAAGGGATATGAAGCTCGTGAACTTATAACACTACAATTTAATCCGATTTTCAGAGACCTTCCATGAAAGCAAACACTGAACTGCTTAAGTGTGTCTTACTAATTCATAAAAAACACAAAAAGTTGATGTTATGGTAATAAAAGTGAAACAAGGGATAGGTAACTTAATTTTTGATTAATGTGAAAAATAATACACTAATCTCAGTGTTGTACTAAATTGGCTTTTTTGGTTAGAATAGTGAAATAATTGTTCGCATAAAAACGAAGAGGCGTCAATGATTATGTCTATAAAGACAGAAGAAAATCACTTTGGTTACATAGAAACACTCAAGATACGGAAACACAGCAGACTAACCGATGTTTATACCAATGCAAAACAAGACTACAATTTACTGTAACGCATGTATTGCTATTAAAAACCTAATCGAATCAATGTACAGAAGCGAAACGATTTAAGAATGTAGATAGTAAACAACTGACCGTCACCTTAGGCATCAACGGATTCGATAATGGTTCAGATAAGTACACCAGATAATTAATTTTTATGACCTTATTACCTCTATAAAACGTAGATGATATAAATATTTATCAACCGCACGTTTTTTCGAAACCTTCTTCGATTGATATTCAATAATTACGACTTAAAAAACACTTTCTCACAAGAAAACTAACAACAAATAAGTGGGTATTATTTCACAATCGTGGCCTTGACTTAAATCACCAGATTAAACAGAACGCAAATCTTAAAATTCTATAACTCTATTATGTGTACATAGTTGAGCTTCGTTGAAAAGATTCGTCTTTCAATGCGACACACATTTGGCTGATGTATAAGTTTCCGCTAGGTTGCAAAATGCCAAGAACAAATAACGGATTATCCTTACAAAATAAACAATTCATTCACAAATCGAAACGACAAGGAGAAACACAAACAGCACAACAAAAATATTAAAATACCATTCTTGCTGCAGCATAGATACAGAAAATTGCAGCAACAAAGAGTGTCTAACTGAATTAAAATTCCGAATGGTATGACATTTACGTAAGTGAAAATTTTCAAATAAATATATAAGCTCGCAATTTTTTTACACTTATTCACACCTTTTGCTCTAAACAAATCCCCGCACAAGCAGCCACCGATATCTAATGATATGTAAGGAGTTACCATTTTTGGAAGAAACGAAATCTTTCCTATTCGGCATTGACTACCCAATATCTCACACCCTGGATATAAGGTGGCGGGCATTGGATTTGAACCCAAGAGATAACTTGCGAAACCATCGCAGTTAAGTCTAACGACTTGGAGACTGTAGTGCTTACATGGCAAATTATGGCCTGTGGGCCAAATCCGACCCGTTGGGTAATTCAATCTGGCTCATCTGATGTTGCCACAACCAACTAAAACCAAATTTTGACGTTTTAGATGAAGAATAGCCCATGAAATTTGTTGAGATTGCGATTAAACTTATGTTTTGGCACAAGGTTTTTTGTTTTCCACTTTTAAATATTGTTAAATATTGGGTGCTCCCGAAGTATGTGAACCAAGATGGTGGACACCGGAACGTAGTATGTGTACCAAGTTAGGGTTAGGCCATAATTTTATTCCAATTTTTCTCATTTCCCATAGTATTAGTACCTGAAATTATGGCCTAACCCTAACCTGGTACACATGCTACGTTCCCGCGTCCGCCATCTTGCTTCACATACTTCAGGAGTACCAAATATTTTACTGTAAATATTATTCACAAAAATGAAACTTTTTACATCACAATTATTATGGCCCGCCAGTCTAGGTGGGCAAAATTGTTGGCCCATGATCCACAAAAAACTTGCCCACACGCCACAACTGCTATAGTGTCATTGTGGGTTAAAATCCTGTGTTTGTCACCTACCCATGGCGTAATAAATTGATTATACCATGCCAAACCGGAAAGTGATTATGAAATTTGGTCAGGAATTCCTCAAAAATAAAGGATTAACTATTAAAAAAAAATTAGTTTGTTTATCGTTAAATATCAAAACATCGAGTGACGTTTTTTTTTTCAATAAACTATCCACCTTATTAAATATGATAAATGAGGAATTATCTCTAAGGAATGAGAACTGTATATCGTTACGCAATTTACCAGGAACTATAAAAAAAAATAAAGTATTTTAAGGTAATTTATCCCATCATTAACAAATCGAATTAAGACTTTAAAAATGGATCATACATGAAATGTCCTATTGAATGTGGCCCATAGATGTTTTGTACAAAAAGAACAAAAAATTTCAACCTTGTCAACAAAGAATGACAGGAGGTAAGCGAACAAATGTTTGTGACATGTACGGTTCACACGATAGATAGGTCAATAAGATAATTGAAGCAAAAAATTTATGTTATCATTTTTATAATTTCAAATTGATTATTTTGACAATAAACAAAAAAAGTGTAATTAAAATTCTCGCAAGTCAACACTCATAATACAACATTCATAGCTTTATATAACATCAGACAATTAGAAAAAAAAAATTACGCAGTTTATACTTCATCCAAAGTAGATAACATCTATTTAATCTAATATAGTGGGGCGCGCCCCAAAGGAGACAATTTTTTGATGGGGCGTAAAGCTAATTAAAAATAAAAATATTTGTTAGGTTTGATCTTGCACGCCTTATTTCAGATATTTACATTTTGAAACTTTATTCCATTATTTACGTTCCATCCTTGTTTTTTTGCATAAAACATACTTTGAAATTACTATTCCTTATTTGCAGCTTATTGTCAGCTAGTTATTTTTGAGGGGGGTATGAGACAAACTTTAAAAAGGGTGACTTAAAAAGTATGAGAAGCATTGATCTAATATTATTATTTTATTTAGGCTAAACTGAATCGCTAATAATAGGATCTAATACATTCTTTAAAAAACTTCTAATTATATCTCATTTGAAGCACTCTACTTTTACTCGCTAAAATATCATTTTTATCATTGTTCCGCTGAATTAAATATAGCTGTTCCTTTCATTTTGACTGTTACAAAGCTTGCTGGCATTGTTGGCAGTTTGAGTGAGAGAACGTGACCTTCCTTTGAGAAAATTTTGTTGGAATTGGACAAATATTACAGACTTACCGTTTCTCCTCTGCAATGCTGCTACCGTAAATACTATATAAGTGTGCGCAAACAATTTTCAAGTGTTTTGATAAGGGATATCCAAATCGAATCGATACGATATTAATTTTATTTCATATTCTTAATTCCTGGTTTTAGTAATAATTGGTTTCGTGTGTAAACTATAATTTTGAACAATTGTAGCGTCATAATATCATAACTGAAAATGCTTTTATAGTTATTTCTGAAAACTGTAAAAACAGAGAACTAATTAAATATTTTTTTTGATTGCTTTTCGTGCATTGCCATGCATCTGTTTTTTATTTAAAATTTAGTCACAAAAAAACATAAATTTCTCAATTAATTCCGGAAGAGAAAAAAAATTATTTAACACTTTAAATTCAGTTGTGTATGATTGTACCCAAAATTTACAGTAATCTAGAACCCTTCACACAAAAATTATTATTTTCCCGAAGGAATATTTTCCTAATTTTTCATGATTCTGTTGTTTATGGTCTCCCTGTACATAAGCATAAATTGCAAAACAAAATTTGAGCTATTCGGATGAGGAACTACATATGCTATATAATATATGCTCTCTAGTCTTGGATCTGACTCATTCATACCACCACAGCAAATATCTTCAAAGTTCTCAACTTTTTTACAATCACGAATGAACCTACAGTATTTTCCCTATTTCTACACTACTCAATATACTGCACACGCTATATCAGACTAATCTATTCTCAAACATTATTTTCCACTTTACGATAGAATGAACTCGTAAGTTGCATAAACACACAAAAGAACTCGGAAACTCGAAACCAAAACATGTATCGGGTGAGTGATTCTGTAATTCTACACACTAATGGATTTTCTAAACCTCTTAATAAAGACGATAAAGAAAAAGATTCAAATTCAGTAGTATGGTGTGGCGCCGTTGGTTTTTTAATCCAAACGTTTTGGGATTATGGCACATTAAAAACGCTGCGTTTCTCTATTATTTCAGTCGGATTACAAGATTCTCATGTGAGAATATAAATACAAAACAAAGCTTCTACCCATCCCATCTAATCCAAGAATGTCTGCTATCAGATTAGATTTTAGGTCATAATATGCAATCTATGCCGACATTGATGTCGAGGGAATTACCGGTAAGCCTAAATAGCATTTAAAATTAATGTTATTAAAACGGGTTTTGTTATTTTAAAAATTCTGACAAACCAAAATTTTCAATGCTATAAATTTTGCTATTCTGGATGTTCATCGGGAATTCAGATCATCAAAATTTTTTTTGCTATGTATTTTCTCATTCTTGTGAATATTATTCTACAAAACAACTTCATACATCATGATTTTAACAAAAAAATGCATTCATATCAATTGCAATGGAAATTCATGAATAAAAAATAAAAAGACTAGAATTTGAAAAAGAATTCAGTTACATCCATTACTAGTCTAAGCTGTTCGATTTCAAATTGAAACTGACAATATAAATTTTCTTGATGCATGAAAATTTTTCTTCCAAGAAAATTTGTCTATTTAATAAAGCAAGGCCACGCGCATACATTAACAAAGAAGATCAATCTCCAAACGAAGTGCTAAAAGCCACTGAAACTATATTGAATTGAGAATTTCGCATTAGTAAATATTGATTGACGAGAAACTTGAAGATCAAATCAATACTGTTACCAGAACAACTACGAGGTAGTGAATTCCACAAAACAGAAAGTCGTTAAAAAAATTTTTGGGAACAAAATTATTTTTGTTTTGTAAGTGAGGTGATTGGAAACGGGTAAGAACACACATCTAACAGAGTTTGACAATGAAAATTTTTTTTTGGAGGACAACCTCATTTGAAGGACAATTTCCATTATACAATTCAACTACTGTTTATAAATTGTTTGTTACTCATAATGTAGATGCTGCCATAACAGTGTGGTATGAGGTATTTGGATGAAAAAATCAACCCAAATAATCCTACACAAAGGTAAATAACGTGTCAATACAAGCATTTACTCTATAACATTAAATTTTATTATATTATCCATTCGTAAAAGTCAACTTACGCTGAGTCCTTAAATGCTTCCAACCATTTTGCTTTTTCCTGCAAAGTTTTAGCATAAAGCATGTAGTTCCGAACGCCTTGCTTCATTGAGAACAACTTCCATACCCAACTCCACTGAGAAGAAAACAAGAATTTCAAGCCCTTTTTTTGATTTTTTTTTTGTCATGAACGAAAAAATTATACAGTATTATTATAGGACAGCAATCGGCAACCTGTGGTTCTTTGTTCTCGAAGCTCTGGCACCCGTGAATCGAAGTGGCTACAGCAGTTCTTTGTGTAAAGCAGTGGTGATTAAATGAAAGTCGGGGGCGTAAAGTCGATTACTACTTACTAATTACACATCACAGCAGGTATAAGTCAATGGCAGTAAAAATAGATCGCATTTTTCAAATCTGTCAAAACAGACATTTTCTATCCATTTTACGAGTTCTTTTCACTTCGTCATAATCTGAATTAATACATCATTTGCAACTTGTTTGGCTTTTTTCCAGTAAGAACTACATTATTGCATCACAAGTGGTTTTACAAGAGTTTCAATAACCACTGACGTTACAGTAGATGTTGCGGTGCTGAGTACATTTGAGTTTGACGAAAAGGATGCCAAATGGCCCTTCAATGCTAAAGATTGCCGACCCGTGTTACAGGATGAAGATTAAAGAGTGTGCCAATTACCACTCATCTGGTTACTATTAGTCTACATATTAAAAACGGCGGGGTTTTATAACTTGGATAGTTGAGCCAGACTGGTCGATGAATCTGTGTGACCCAAAAATCCTTTCACACACTTATTGACTACAAAAACATGAAAAGTTAAAAATAGAAAAAAAATTGAAAAACAATTGTGAAATGCATTTAACAATACCCATTTAATATTTAAATGAGTTCTCGCGATTGAATAGTGATTATGATATTTCTTTGCATTATTTCTAGATTTTTTATTTTTTTTATATTATAAAGCATTTACGCTTTTTGCTCCCAATAAGGCTTTTTCAAGTAATGCCTGCCATGCAAGAAACTATTCTTGGGGAGAACCCCCCCCCCCAGTTGCACCTCCCCCCCCCCCCCCCCCTCCAATTCACTACTACTATCCTGGCAAATATTCATTTAAGACAATTTGGAAAAATCAGGAACTTTGAAATAGAGATATAGGTCAACATGGAGAAAGGAGATAGCATTTTTCATATTTATTCAGTCGCAACAATTTTGGTTTTGAGAAGGTAGCGTAACCACATGCCGAACCTTGCTCTCTCATGTTGTTGTCAGGCTAGGCCAAGTATGAAAATAACAAACCATTTTAATTATCTAGGTGTGGGTAACACAGTTCTTACTTACTCTTGTAATTATGTGTTACTATGTGTGTCTCATGTGTAGGTTATGTGTCTTATTTACAAATCTTAATACAATACAATTTTGAAGAATTGTTCTTAGTCTACAATGTTATTACATTATTCTAAACATATCTAAAATTACTTTGCCAGCTAATTTTTCAAAATAATTACCTTATATTGTGTTTCAATTAACTATGGTGAGTGACCTGACCTCACAAATTTACCGCAATCTCAGATGAACTGAATTAATTAAAACCTAATTGATTGGTACATTGCGCTAAATCTTGTCATCAAGTCTCTGATTCCCCTGTTCGGGTTCGCAGGTTTGAATCCCACAGGAATAACTATGTGTGGAGGGATTGCTAGTTTCCTCACTGTCATGTGGTAATTCTACATAACCACTGGTAGGTTACAGCTTCCCCTACCATCAAGTTCATCCATCTAAAATGAATAACAAGTCTCTAATCCCATTCTTGACTGGCAAAAGGATGGGAGGTCATTGTTCCCCATATGATGAACGCATACTATTGGCTTTCCTCGGCATAGAAATGCATATGAAATTCAATCTTACTTTTCCTCCAGTTTGCTTTTGATTTGGCATTTCATCGAGCTGCATATCTTCTAATCGTATCAAATCTTTCAGAATATATGAATCATTCTAAAAATAAAGATATAAAGTTCAAAAACCTATCAATTAGAACAATTGTTAATAATCCACTACTGTTGTTAGCAAACTATTCTTAACTAAGATACTCGGCACAGAAATTCAAATATCACTCAGCAAAGTTTAAGGCTCAATACTGCCATCTTCTGGTTGATATTTATTTGCAACTAAAAGAAAACCAGTTCTATAACACGAACAAAACGTCGATGACCACCATTATAGGGACTTCCAAAAAGGTTGCCAGCAGTGGTCAGGAACCCATGGCTCGCGAGACATATATGGCTCCCAGAAAAATCTAATATTCTAAGGCTAAGCTTACTATTGTTACGAGATTTCAAACTCTTCTATAACCAAATTTGGCAGAAAATTTTCCAATTTGTCAAATGGCGACCAGCGCATGGATATGTAAGAGAATTATCGGACAGGCATTGTGACAAAACTAGGGAATTCTGGAACATATTTTGTGACATCTTAAAGCGATAGAGTCGCGGGGAAATAGAAAAAAGCTTTTCGTCCGTTTGTACATATTTATTGTCATATTTAGATTGGACTAGCAAAACTAATTTTTAAAATACATCAGAGATGCCTAAATGAAGGAAGGGTGATGGGTATCGCAGATTTCAACTTGTGCTGCATGTGAGCAGCCGTTCAAAGGCCACCGCTACAACATGCAGCATCAGAAGTAACATTAAATGTACATCCATGGCTCTCTTGACCAAAAAGGTTCCCGACCCCTGGTCTTCAGGCTCATTGAATCAGAAAAATGTGCAAAAGTTTGGTTTTGTAAATTTACTGGCTACAGAAATTTACGATTTATGCAGCAGAAGTTAAATTAAAAACAGTTGAAATCAATCTTAAATTTCGCCTTTTTAAATCAAGAACATATCTTAAATATTCAATCTCATCGCAAATATGGCTAGATGAAACCCATGAAGCACCCTATAGTAAATAAATCACAAAATAGCAATTTACAAATCCAGTGGTTATTAAAATTGATTTTTGTTAGCAACACAGAATTAGGATCTATAATATGGTCTCTAAAATGTCTTCAGACCTGTATATTATGAACACCATCTCGGTAATTTGAATTCAAGAGACTATGGTAAACAAAAATGAAGAAACTCAGTAAGTTAAGTGGCTGTTTGGTTGAAATATCCACACTCTCGACAATTGCACCATCGCTAGACGCTATTCAGAATTCTTGATAGTGTCAGTGGTGTTTGGTATTTTAGTGGTCGCCATAGCCTCGCAAGGTTCAGTCTCTTTAATTTCTAATTTACTTCTTGTGACCTTGCTTTGAGTAAACATTCAAACACTGACAGTCAAAATTCATCAAATAATGTGACTTGAAAATATGTTCACGCCCACAAGGAATCAAAAAAAACTACATATTTTAGGATGAATCATTAGCATCTTAATAAATTGAAATTGATATAATAAAGATACAAAAATAATAAAATTTTGTATAAAATAGCCTCATTAACCACAGTGCCAGCAGAAATAACATTTTTTTTTGCATGTAAATTTCCATTTTTGACAAGCTGAAATTTGTCATAAATACCAAAATCAATAAAAACAAGAAAAAATTGTAAAATGTATTTAACGAGCCAACCTTTAATTTGGACATGAAGAGAGCTTTGTCGGATAAGAACACATAGCGGCTGCTGATGTTTTTGTCGTCGGCAAATTTCACTTTGAGTTCTCCGTCGTAGCGTACTCTTCCATATTCTCTCAAGGGGATAGACTAATAAGATTGAAAAATCGATAAAATGCTTCGGCGAGAAAAATTCATTGCCCGACTTCCTCTTTTAAACGGATATCAGTCTTTAGAGATTTATTTTAATTGCATTAAACTGTACGTATTTCGCCACGAAAGAAGCATTTATATAGAAATATTGCAACCTCAAACTAATGGATAGAAAGGAGAAGGTTACATAGAAATGCTAGGTAGCGTAAAACTATACTGATTAACATCAATATCATCTGAGTTACAGATTTGAAATCTTTTTAAAAAAAATAACTTTTCAATTTTTTGAACATTTTGAGAAATTCTTTTCCAGATCCAGAGTTATTCTATTTGTCCCACAAACAAAAAAAATGGTTTTAAAATTAAATACTGATGAGTTTACAACGAAACTAAAAAGGAATTAGAGCGTACAGTGACAATATCTTCTATAAACAAATACACCGTGTTAAAATATATAGCCTCTTTTTTAGGAGCTTAAAAGGTCGAAGTTCAAGAAAACGAGATTTGAATAATTATCTATACTATTTCAAAAAAAATCAATTTTTGATTCCAGACTGAATAAATTTTACAGCAAAACGATTTTTATTCAGTTTCAATTTATATTTAATTAAATTTTTTGAAAATGTTTGTCCACCATACCTGATCATATTCTTCTAATCTTGCTTCAATCTGATTTATCTTTATCAATTCTTCGCTGTCTCGTTTAACTTCATTGATGTATAATGATAATTCCTGATAAGATAAAAGATAAGATTAAAGAGAATAGATTTTAATTAGGTAAATTGGCTCAATGCAAGTTTATGTGCCCTCACCCCGAAGTAAAGGAGACTTATCTCTGAATAAAGTGGCAGTTGACTAAAATTCTAAAAGCTAATGAAACTCTGCTCGGCGTTAAGAATACGCTTGTCACCGCACCTATGCTTACACCTATAAGCCCACAAAGCCCCACATATCATAGTAATTAGGGGTGAAAATATTATAAAACTTGTACGGTAATTGTCGAGGGAAGTGTATTTTACAATATGGCATGATGATCAATGCATTGCAAGTTTGAAAGCCTTGGATTCAAATAACATATTATTATTATTCAGTTAAACTCATGTTGGACATACAGAAATGCTACGCTATTTCCATTTTCACTCAAAAAAAATAAATCATCACACCAAAATAGTTTGCAAGCAAATGAGAAAAAATATCATTCAAATATTTGATCAAAACAAACATGACATGAAAATCCCCTGGAGAATATTGGAAATCTTGTTCTTATAAAAACGCAAAAATGTTCATCCAACATCATAGAACATATGTTATGAAAATTTTCTTTTTAATTCATGCACAGTCAAACAAGATGGGACCTAACATAAATGCACTATCTTTAAATTATTATTCAAAGCAGGAATCAGAACTGAGACCAAATAAAATATGAATTAGAAGAATCAGATATTTATGTACAATATTCCCAAATTATGCGAAATTGTCATGAAAAAACAAAAATTGCATTTTCAAAGCATGTTACAATAGCTGACTTACAATATTATAATATCAATAGCCCATGCATGATGTATGTAAAATATATAATAAACTAAACCAATATTGTTGTACAGATATATTTGATGAAAAAAAAATAAAAACAAGCTTGAACGAAGATACAAATCTTAATTTAGGCACAACCTATGCTTGATGTATATAAAATGAGAGCGGCGGTACTCAAACTTGCATAATCCAAGGAACCCTCTCTACCAAGACCCTCAAACTTAGGGTTCCATCGAGTATCCTGCACTTCCCCGTCAAATAATAATGACAACAAATGAAACAGAAGAACAAATATATTACAGTCAAAAAATTAAATACATTTCGATCAATTTTCTCAATTTATCAAGTCATGGTGAATTGTAATTAGTGAAGACCTTGGCTCAATCCGTAAAAAACAAATTAACGAGAAGTCCGTAAAAAAGTAAAGAGAAAAGACAATAAAAAATTACCTGCATAGATGTGAGAGCTTGTGGCATATTTGGCTTGTCGACGTGACCGTCCGTCGTGTGCTTATTGAGTTCCTGAAAAGTGAATAATACCAGGTGATAAAAAGAAAAAAAAATGCAAAGTTGGCAATATGAAATTTAATGCTTATTTGAATAGCCATTGTTAAGTAGTTCAACTCAAAACACAAATTCTGCACAATGCTCATTTTTGTAAGAGAGGCCACTGAAAAGTGCTACTATTTTAGGAAGGACCTAATTCTCCTCGGTTAAGCGGCGATTACCCAATTTATTATACCTGGGTGAGGTGGTGGGCATGGGATTTGAACCTGAGATTTGACCCTGTGGTGGCATCATAGTTAAGTGTAGCGATTTAATAATTAAGCCGTTGCACCCAGATTTGACTAATAAATGAAAATATGCATAATTTATAATATAATATCCTTTTTGATATATTTTTTTAAGGTATTTTTTTGCTTAAACCTGGCTTAAGATTTCATTGATTTTCATTTTCCATGATGATAATCACTTAGGGATTGACAATTAGGCCATGCCGATCTAAATTTGACAGGTCGAGTCAACTATGCTCATTATACTGAAATTAAATATGGACAGCCTGGGCATCTTACGCAGTAAGGAGAAAGGCCTTTATGCCGTTCTAATGGTATATTAAGTATTTTTGCTTGAATTTTGGTTATTCCTAATGCAACTATCGCTGTCAAAAATGTCAAATAAGATTTTACAGAAGTCTTGTAGGAACCATAGTTCCATACTACATAACACTAATGGCAACATCTCAGATTGGGAATAATAGAAAACAATTAAAATGACCTTGAAAATGATCATTTATTTAAAAGTCGTTAAATATGTGCTAAGTAGACTCGATTTCGAAATATTGTGTGTATCGTGTAAACATTTTAATTCGTTTTAATGACAGCATTAAATTTATTGCTTTCAAGTTTGAAAAAAAATTAGAGTGGCAAAAGAAAACCCATCTCCATTTCAATACCAAACTTATGATTAACAAGTAAAAATATAAAAAAATGTCCGAAATTTCTAAAAAAAATAGCAAACCTTAACAAGCAGATGATATTTTAAAATTCTTTGCATAGGTACGCACAGTAGATCACGTAGTTTAAACTTGTTTCGACTTGAACTCATTTGACACTCCTGAAAAATAAAAATTAAATAAATAAACATAAATTTGAATGAATTTTTATAACAGAAAATAGGCCATAAATGACCAGCGGAGCACACAAAATCTGGCGCTCCAGAAGTGTGTGTACCAAAATGGAGGTAACTAATTTTGTTCGCCGACTTTACATCAAGTTGTCTAAAGGCACTGAAGCCTATTGGGGCAGGGGGATATTCACTTGTCTAACACAGATAGTCCCGAACTCGAAATCGAACTAAAATAAGGAAAATCGGAATGAAATTATGGCCTAACCCTAACCTGCTACACACTCTACGGGAGTCCCCAAAATCCAAATAAAAAAAATTTTAAATTGAGTTTAGAACATACCGGTACATTTTATCATAGAAACGCTACCTTAGCAAGAAATTATGATTCACGTAACACGTTCAAATTTATAATTATGCCATTATTTTATAATAATATATTGACGAAATTAGGATGAATTAATTGAAATAAATTGTAAAGTAGAACTGCTCCAGATTATTAACTTTTTGGCAAGGATATAAAGTTGAGTTTGGCAATAATGTACTAGTAATACTATAAGTCGAAACCATGGCCGTATTTACGAATTAACCAAATCAGATTTTAAGATTTTCAACACTATATGCAAGCAGCCGATGATGTGAACAGAGCCTAATGCCTAATGTTCTTGTCACTGTGTCAAAATATGAATCAAAAATGGATAGATACCAGACTCAAAATTTCTTCTGGATTTGCCAATGTCTCAAAGCGGAATTACAAATAAAATTTTCCTTGCATAATCGGGCTATTTTATTATTAGCAAAACTCTTTTGTGATTCCAAAATTAACTGACCTCAATTTTAAGCCGAACTTCTTCATTTTTACTACATTCTTCCAAATGATCCTGGGCATCGACCAAATTACTGCAATAGTCTCCGTAAATCAGAAACTTCTCCTAAAAATAGAATTAAACGAGTGTTTACGCTAAATAAAATCGCAATTGTTCAGTACGCAGTTAGCAGAAGACATTCTTAAAACAAACATGTCAACGAGTCTACCGTATATACTTGCATATAAACAGAATTTAAACCCCAAAAAAATAGTTGCAAAACTAAGGGGTCGGCTTATATGCTCATAACTGTGATCGCACTAAAAATTCAGCTTATACGCACATAACTCTGATCGCACTAAGAATTCAGCTTATACGCACATAACTCTGATCGCACTCAAACGAAATGACATTATCTTCTGCAACCATTTTCTGTAAAAGTCTTACGACGACGTCTTACGATTTGTAAGGTCGGCTTATATGCAAACTTCTATAAATTCATGGTTTTAGGGGGTCTGCCTATAATTATGCGAGGATATACAGTATTTATTAGATATTTCAAATTCTAATATTTCAAATATATAAATCATAGAGGGGGAATGTAAAAATGTGCCTGTAAAAATGTGCTTGTAAAAAAGACAGTAACGGAGTGAAAGCATTGAACAGTATTTGTCTTGAAAACTGTTAATGTATAACTCCAATTATTTGAACTCAATTTCTTTAATCCTTCCTTTTCATTGATAGTCTATCAATTCATCTTGGCAAATATTTGAACATTTTACATATAAAATACTAAAAGTCCAGCTTTTCAGCCAACTATACGGGTGCTGCGATTTCAGACATAATATGGTCAAGATTAAGATATTATGTGCCACAATTTTGAAATGACACAAAATTATTAAATGACATTGTTATTTATGCATACAGATTCTGAATTATAGAATAAAAGTAAACATATTTTCTCTACGAATACCAAAACACTTACCCTATACTGTATAAAAGGTTGGCTGAACTTGGCGTTCTGACCATTTCTCTGTAATTTGACAAGTTCGTCCCGAAAACTGGTGTGAATGGGTCGTAATTGCTGACAATATAAGAAAAATTCATGCGAAATGTGGTTCTTCAGAACCAAGAGTAATAAAGAATTCTAAGCAGTGATGACCAAACGAAATCAAATTTTTGAATATGTTCAAAATTGGTGATATTCGATTGTAAATACAGGGCGACCACAGAACAGCACCCATGTTAGTTGGAACATAGTCCAGAGCAAACGTAATGTGCAAATAATGTCCAAATGTTTCAGTATACTAAAACTTTTGGATACAATCACACACAAACAGAAGTTTTTCAAGTGTTGAACAAATTTTCTTACAATACAAGATAGCAATGATCAAATATATGAAAATTAGGGTTTTGTAACGGTATGAAGCGGCACATTATTTGAAGCCCTAACGCAGCACCAAGTTTGCTAAAATAAATGGAAATAAAATATTTTCATACGTAATAAAAAAGGGTTCTCTGATTAAAAATAATTTGATGAAATGTTTGGTCTATAGAAAAAAAAGAAAAAATTGCCTTACAGTGAATTCTGCTCAGTGAAATCACTCACCTCTATATTCATAAAAATGGTTTTAATATCTTGCTCAGATAAACATTGACGCAGTGGAATCATAAATTGTTCGACCATCATAACAAGATGAGTGACATAATTATTTTCAGTCTCAACGATCTCATGGATGCAACATCCACGTTTGTCCAGCTACAATAAATAAGAGACAAGTTTGCAAATAACAAGTTCATTATTGGTCAACCGAAAAGCAAAAAAATAAATAAATAATAGCAAAAGGTTTTCGATGCAGACTGTGTGGTAATTGGTAAAGATGCAACCGTGTGGTCATCGAGTGTGTTATATATCTAAACTCCATAATTAGGAGCAGAAGTTAAAACAAAAAAAATACTAATGTCCATTACTGTAAGTAGTAGGGAGGCTAGACTAAACTATGATGACATGGTACAGTCAAATCTCGGGTTCAATTTCCATACCCATCACCTCACGCAGGGTGTAATAAATAGAGTAGGCAATACCAAAACGGAAAGATGCCGGTCTTTCTAAAATAAATCAGTTCCTTGTATATCAGTGGCTGCTCATTTAGAGCCTTTTTCAGAGCAAAACATGTAGTTGTTATCAAATTATAGAACATTTTGGACACGGCAAACCACACACATACTTTATATACTAAAATGGAAGCACATTTAAAAACGTCATTGTGAATTTGAATTATGAAATGTTTTGACTGATTTAAGAAAACAAAAGTGTAAATTTAATACTAAACCTTCCAAATAAGACAAAATAAATGGCAAAAAGTTTTGAAAAATGTTGAAATATGCGGTAAACAACAACACATAATTAATAAACTAATAAACAAAAATAATGAGATTGGCAAAATGTAAATATGGACAATGTGTTTGTTTATCCATTATCTGAACTTATTTCTGTTAAACTTGGATTGATTTGCATACCTAGTGCCAAAATATTGTTTTTCAGGCAAATTTTAATTAAAAGATAAAATTTGAATTCTATTTAAATTTGTCATTCAATTCGGCCATCTTAACATTTTCAAACTATCTACTAATCAACGTTTACAAGGATTTAACAAATAAAATCAACTTTGTTTTTCTGAACGTTCAGAACTTGTCCCTCAAAAAAGTTTTCAGTCGTCGAATTTGTATGGCTATAAATTTATTTTTTGCCAAACAAATTCCAATTCAAAACGGAATTTTCATATTTAAATTTTAGTGTCGAATCAGTATAAATTGCCCCAATTTTTTTTATTGTTATGATTTATTAACAGTTTCATAATTTTGAACATGGCTATGAATTCCCATCCGCTCTCATTTGTTTATTGTCAGTGTATCTACCAGACAACCAACAAAAAAATTCTATGTCGAAAGTTTTTTCCAAGAACTTTATTTATGTGGAATTCATTACCTCATTGGTTATTTAGTGACTGTGTTGACATAAACTGCCTGGGTCTTGTGTCAACCAGTATAATGCGCAAATCTTCATTGTTATAATTCTTTATAGTCTCTTTAGCTCCTGGCAGTTAAGTGGTTGCTAATAATTTTACTTCATTTGTGAGTGACAGCGCATGACTTTGCTTTAAGCAAATTATAAAAAAAAATTGTCTAAGAAGCTCAAAAATGAATGATACACAAATAAAGAGAAGATTATCACACTGGGTGTAGACTTACTGCCATTGAAACAGGACATAACAACAAATAAGACGATAATTAACCAGCAGATGCATATTCAGATACTACATAAAACTTACATAGTGTGGTACTGGTTTGAAGATAAACTTCCATAGAAAGCAGAGAAAAATTATATACGATGGGTTATTTATTATCGAATAATTTTACTAATAAAAACCACAATGTAAACACTACCAACATATCAGATTATGAATATAAATGTTGATGAAATATTATTATTCTAGTCTGTGGTTTAGAACCGCTATGTTTCAAGTAAATTTTTGTCCTGTGTTAGGATTAGTTTGCGAATGAAAAGTTTTGCAAACACCAAGTCATGTCTTTTATTACACATCAATAATTGATTCTTTTCGAAATTGCATTGAAAAATAAATTGAATAATACCACATAATAATGGTACTAGTATTATTACCCAAATATGCACGCTGGGGGTACTTTCAGAAATTAGATTGAAAAAAAAACAGGTGTGACAAAAATGGGTCTTTATAAAATGCTGTATTAAAATTTGTAAAAGAACTTCGATGTGGTTCATGCAGCTAATGGTGGGCATATAAAGTGTATTAAATGAAGAAAAAAATTTTGAAGTCAACACTCAATATTAATAATAAAATCAAATCTGGTTAAGATATATTGGGAACTGACTTTACAATAAAATTGTAAACTACACATTTGTCAGTTTATCAATAAATATAGAATCTTTCATTTGCGAATATTACAGCACATATCCAAACATACGTGTATTATTTAAAGCCAGTTAAAAAAGGACTAAAAATATAAATAAATATTCATTGATTATTTTTGAGCAATAACAGGGATAAACAACGTTGAACTAGTTAGAAATTAGTCATAAGCAATACCTAAACAGACTGTGACTGGGTGTTCCAGTTATTATCGCCAATAACAGAACAATACTTATATATGAAAGGCCTATTACAAATGGTCAATTTGATCCAATTATATGATAGGTATATAATTCGTTGCGCAGTGGTATCAAGTTACAGAGAAAAGAATATAGAAGTCAGAAGCCTCGTTTTATCAAGACGTTGGTGAAATTAGGGTGGAAATAGTGATCAGATTTACTGAAAAATTATTTATTAATTCTGAAGTGATTATACAGATTGCTCATAGATAACTTGAAATTGCAATGCCACCAAAGAAATTTTCATTCAAGTTAAAAGATTATATATAAAATTATTTAGGGCTAAGAATCCTGTACTACTCAAATAAAAAAATCGATCTCCGTTGTTTGCAAATCGCAATTAAACTACAAATATCCTAAACAAAAGATCATGAAATTTTCTCGCCAAGTTGAATTTTCCAATGTAGGGCACAATAAAACTAATATTTAGTAAATGAAAAAATTATTCAAAAATTTGGATAATGCAAACCATTCAGCAAAAGAGTGTAACACTGCAAAAACATGAGCCAAATTGTATTTGAATTGTAATTGTATTAATCATAAGTCATAACAATTTTTAGTGATTCATGAATCTTTTCTGTCAGAATATTTTTAAATTTTAAGAGAAAATTTGTCCAAACTTAGCTAATCGTACATCGTCAGGAAACAAGAATCAAATCATTGCTTACTTTTTGTGATGAAGTAACACTAGCATTTCTCTTCAGATCAATCAACGATCCATAAATTCCTTCATCTTTTACTTCTTCAGGTACAGAATCATAAAGATCTTCATCTTCATCCGCCAGTGCTCGCTCACTGAAAAAAATGTGAAAGTTGACTTTTTTATTATGGTTATATAAACACTCATACTTGAATAAACAAATTTCAAATTTTCAGAAAACTTATTAATTGCATACATATCGGTAAACTAATTTTTTATCAATATCACTGAATAATAGATAATATAATTCAGAATATTAATTAATAATAATAACAAAATGAATGGTAAAAAAATATTGAAGAGCATCCATTTATTACATTAAGCATCACAAATTAAACAATCACTTTACTATTATCTCATTCAAGCATCCTCGTGGCAACAGTCGCATTAGGACCCCAAGCAGGAAGTAGATAAGGAGAAAGTACTGTCTGAAGTTCAATACACAATATCCTAGTTTTCCCCATTACAAGTTAGTAAAGCAAATAATTTCTTTTCATAACCAATTTCTGACTAAAAGATTACTCTGCATTTCCAAGTCATGTTAAACTAGCCTACAGGTTAATAATGTTTAAAGTGACAATTGACGTGTTCAATGTTTCTAAAGAAATCCTATCTTGAATAACAAAATATTCATGCCTGACTTCAGTCTTGTGAAACTGGTTAGCAATGTTTGATATTGATATACGAACAATAGAGCAATGCTTAAATATATGGACACGAAGTGGTAGGAGTATGTAATCTATCACAGTAGCCGACCGATACCGCATCTCAGCAGATTTGAACATACTCGAAAGCGGAACCGCCACAAGGAGCACAATTTTTAATTTTGATTTCGCCATCGCACTTGTTATCCAGTACCATATGTCAAAATATAGTGGCACATTGTAAAAAGCTCAAAAGTTGTTTTCCCAAAAAGCAGTCTAAATATCAATACCTCTGCAGTAGGGATGTCCAAAATGAATCGAATATTCGAATCGATTAAAATGTAATAATTTTTTAAATACTGTCTTCAAAATAGTGCATTATCAGTTTTTGGAATTCCCATCCTCTTGAATTGCTTTCAAATTTAGTTTTATGAATGGTGAATTCCTTCATCAGTGAAGTAATGTAAACATATTATAATGGTCAAGCTTTCTGATATGATACAACCCTAAACAATCTTGAAAAAACTACGGTATCTAGTCTCACCTGGCAAGCTCTGGTAGATTCCTGTAAATATCTTCATCTTCAAAACTGGATCGTTGAGTGCTCAACCTTGAGTTTGGATAAAATTGTCTGAAAAGGAGATAACAATTCAATATATCAAACTTTTACGTAACTTTTAAGTAAGTCACCAGGAATGAAATAATGCTGCCAAGGATCACTAAGGACAATGATCTACAGATGAGGAGCCAAGAGTACAATTAAAAAAATAAACAAAATTTGTTAATTTATGTCCAATTTTTAATTATTTTTGACCAATTTTACACATTAAAATATGACTTCCTATCCTGATATCGATACAGTGAGAAATGACAAAGGAGTATTGGAATACCTCCCGTTCCCACACATTATTGTAATTTAGTCACATGACCTGATAAAATACGCTAATAGATAGATGATACTACACCATGGCTTTGTATACTTTGTTATGGCATCAGAATCATCCCATTATTATCACCAGTATTATGTCAAGCCTTGGTCACTTTCTTATAATATGTTAGTAACTAATAGGTATTTATAATGGTTAACATTGACTCAGGTATTAAGTAAATGCTGAGACTTATTTTAACCTATTTTTATTTCTTCGTCTATTTGTACAACTAAATAGAGATACTCAAGAGACAAATAAAATGTGGGATTATTAGATAGTTTCATGGGAAATGTTTTTATAACCTGGAGGTGACACATATGAATAGAAAATAAAAATATCAAGTCTCATTTCTAAATTTTCCAATGAGTCAAGCACCGGTAATAGGAACTTTTCTTTGGGAGATTTTTTTAGCTTCCTTGGTAATGGTCAACAATATAACTTATGAAACTACAGTAATGTTTATGAATGTACGGTAATCTCAAAATTTTTACTTGTAAATATCTTCAAATTTTACTTTAATCAACACTTATTAATACCAATTTATAATATGGGTATATACTTTCAATGTACTTATATACCGGTAATTTTGTAAATGCATTCTTAATACATGCATATGATTAGGGCAGGAATATTGGATTTTGTATAACTTTCAATTTGAATTGCCATTGTATTATGGTAATTGATAATTCAATATAACTTCCGACTTGGAAGGCCATTTCTCCTCAATTTAAACTTAAGTTGTCAAAAGCAGTTATAACCACACGGTTTTTGTGGCTACAATAGTTGAATTGACAGAAATAACCTATGTTTGTTAATGAATGATATTACAGACTTTCGCTCACAGAAAACAAAGCGTCACTGATATCAGTAGGTGACTGCAACTGATCATTCCAATAATGATATCTTATCAATAACTGCAATGAAAATTACTACGCAGAAATTTTATAACATGGAATGGAATTTTGTATGATTGATTTTGATAAACACAAAGGGAACACTGGTTAGCAGGTATGCTGCTGAATACATTCTAACAAGAAATTATGAATATGGATAATCGAATATACTCTGAGATTGGGTTAGTTTCAACAGAAACACATATGGAAGTCAATGTACATTCAACAAGTTTAAATTTAAAAATGCAAAAAAGTGAATTTGGTTGTGAAAGTGAAGCGATTTGGTTGGGCGCTATTTTTTCCAGAAGGTTGAGATATTTTACATACTAAATTTATGCTTTTTCAATTGTTAAAAATAATAATTTTCTAATTGAAACAATCTTTAAATACACCTATAATTAGGAATTTAAAATATTTAATATAATAAATTCCAAAACGATTTGGTTTTAACTTTTGGTCATCCCTGCTGACTAGGTATAGAAATTGTTGTCTCATTCGAAAAAGCCTTTTAAACGAAACATAAAAATTAAAATGAATAAGAATTAAACCACTTCCTATTGTACATGTAAATAATAAAGGTATGTGTGAACTACCAGACATGAGATTTATTAATCATGATGAAAAATCAATCAAAACATGATCTTTGTTCTTTCAAACATAAATATTAAAAAAGTTAAGTGCATAACGAACATTTAAATATAGATTAAATGCGAGTAAAATGTTGATTTTGGAAATAGTCATATATATTTATATATTTTCAGCAACAAAATCTGACATACAAATCTCCAATTTATTTATTATTTCATTTTTTTATGCTGCTTGAATAAGCTGAACTTCTCACATACTAAATTGCAAGATAATATAATAATTTGAATGATTATATCCTCAGAATAAGCTAATCCAAATAAATTATACTTGGTATATCTAAAATACTTTTTCAACTAAATTATTTATTGGTATGAATGAACCCTGACTTCTGAGACGGCCGAAACTAACCTAACCCAACTTACCCAAGGTAAGGCAAAAAGGAGCAAAACCTTGTTATATAAAAAACATATCGACTTATTACCCCCAACCCCAACTAACTGTAATCAATGCGGAAAATGAAAATTTCTGATTTGTTTAAGGCGAAACCATGGTTCATACATGTTACTCATGCAGATTAAAAATAATCGTCAAATCTATGAATATTCACTTATAGGCTAACTTATTAATAATTGATTTCAATTCCAATCCAATATACATATATATATATATATATATATATATAAAATCTAACTATAATATGTATATAATTGGAAATGTTAGAAAAAAAATTTCTTAAAAAATTCGAAAAATCACTTTTCCAATAAAAAATAAAATCCATTCTTTTCAATAAGGAAACTAATTTATTTGACTGAATTTATTTCTCAAAAATGGTATACCGTTTGTGATATACCACTTTTTTCAAGATTTACAAAAGGCAAAATATTTGAAAATTCTAGTAATGACATGGATTCAAACAGGAAGAAATTTGTGAATGAGTGAGAAACGAAGCTTGAGAACTAAACGTCAATACAGGAAATAATTGATTTGTTCCGGTACATTTGGCATTTGCACCTAGTGTTCCGGGGCCAATTTCTCCCACTTTGTTGAATGCGTTAGTTACCATCGGTCCAATTGGATATAGTAATTGAATGATTATTTAAATTATGGGTCACAAAATGTTTTTATATAACTACGAGTGAATAATTTGACTTAAATTGAAGTAAAAATGGTCTAATTCAGAAAATTTCATTTCTTAATAATTCGAATAAAAAAATAACAAAAAGATCATATTTGAAAATAAAAATGTAGACTTTAAAAAATGTGACTTTGCCATAATGTCATAAATAACTGAGTAAAATTAATTAACATATACAACAATTTATTCGCTATATAGAGTCACCTAGCTGACTCTTAAAATCGTAACTTATTGCTATCAAAATTGAAATTTATTGCAAGACAGCATTATGGAATATCAAAATATTTCAAATATGGAAAATTTTAAGAACCAGCAATTACCAGATTAATCTTTCAGTATGCTACTAAATGAACTATAACTTGCGTGATGAAATGAAGAATAGACAACTTCGAGAAGCCAAGGGCAAAAATTATTTAAAAATTGTCAGATAAGTATAGAAAAAACTAAAAATATCCATACTACAATTTTCAAAGGACCACATATAATATATATAAATTAGGTTTGGTAGTAGTGCGCATCATGAATGGCCTGCACCTAAATATTGACATTTTTAGTGCGATAATCTAGACAAGAAATGACAATATAATATGTCAAAAATTAAAATTTTATCGAACAATATTTTTGAGTTAAATATCAAAACCATGCTTTTATGAGAATCTCATTAAACAGTCTGGTTTTGTTTTACATTCACAGAAAAATTAAACAAGTTACTGATATAATATTATTAATTAAGCTAATTAATAGATTAGTGATTGATAATATTGGTTTTCAAATACCGTTAATAAATGTTGACACATAAGTGTAAAGGCATTTGTCTGAGAGTTTTTTTTTTGATAGATTTTCTACGTACATGTCTGGCCATCTTTAAATGTGGTATAAAAATAACTTGCAAATTCTTTGTGATGTAATAGAACTAATTTTATGGCATATTTTTGAACAACCTTTATGATTTGATACAATTTTTTACACTGGATAAATTATGGACTTATACAGTACCTAATCATGTATCATTAGGACAACACTAACACATTTTTGAGGGAATCCTACGTAGACTTTCATAAGTTATAAGCAGCAGTTATCATATTTTACAGACCATAAGGCGCACTGTCAATAAATTGCTTATATTGGGTATTTATCTATACATAAAGCGCACGGCGCATGATCGAAATTTGAAAAAAATAAACAGTATTTGAAGCGTGCATTATGGTTCGTAAAATACGGTACATCTGATTATATTTAGGTGGATTTTGAATCTGCTTTCAGAAACTCAATTTCTAAAATTTATATGTTGCTGTGAGTGACCTTTCAGTTTGTATATACAATTTAAAGCAGTTACCGTTACTTGAGAACTAACTTTATGACAATAACGCTTTAAAAAGTCAGTGTGGGCGGCCCTGCTTTTAGCAGACTTTCACAGAAAAGCAGATGGAAAATGTCGAACAGACACCATTTGATGCTGTGATTTCCTTGACCGAATTAATTTTAACAATCTTTAACGATAAATTTGAGTGATTGTATTACATTTTCTCAGCTGAATAAAATAAATGGACTAAAATTTATATCAAAAATCTCAAAAATTGAATTGTTAGAAATATCTGAAACGTAGACTGAACTTTCGTATGTATACATAGGTTGCTTCTAAATACGAGTGTAGAAATGATGAATCGAGATATTCCTGTACCTTAATTGTGCAAGTGATAGATGCAAATGACATAAAAATGTACAATTTACGCCAGAAGACTTCTGAAAATAATGGGATTCAATTTATAATAATCTTTAAACATTCAATAATAATGAAGTTTATTGATATTATTTAGAAAGACTATCATATTATAAAAAAATTGATTATTTCCAAATCAATCATGAAGAAAAGAGAATACCAAAGATAGTAGTGTGCTACATTTCTCATATTCAAAAGCACACGCTTACATTATATACCGTAAATGTGTACTTCTTTGTGAAGTGTACATTCTCTTTTTTTTGTTATACATCAAAAGTCCATTTCAAATTCAACTTTATAATTTTAATTTACCTCCGAATACAGGTAAGTAATGATTAGTAGAAATCGGTTTGTTTGGATTTGTTCAAGTATTCGGATACTCCTAACTTCACTAAAAGTACCACAACATCCCCTTACGTATTGCAAGGTTGGAAAGATAAAAAAAAAAAATGATGATCAATGTTATTGGAAGCACACCCATAGTTTTATTTTAAGGTTGTAGGTATTTCCAGATACCACAATAAACAGGTCCATATATATGATAGGCATTATCACATAATACAATGGTTGCAAGATGATTTTCATATTATTAACGTGCTGTTAGTCTAAGATAGAGTGACACATTCGAATGGAATGACTCATTACCTCCAATACTTCCTTTAGAACAGTTCAGCAGGGCTACGAAACCGTGTGATGTGATGTAACCCAATAATAACGGTACAATATTATAACATTGTTATGTGCATGTGTGAATATAATATAACCATCTTCTTGTCTGTAGATTTTGGCAGCCTTATTTAACAGTCATACTGTTCGACTATGTGTATACATTTTTGTCACAAAATTATTGCGGTGATAATTTTTTCAATTATCCATTTTGATATTAAATTGCGTCCTGTAAGTAAGCAAAGTGCGAATGTTTCCAACTTTTTGTCAAATTTCAATCTTCTTATTATTAATATTGGAGGAAAAATGCACTATATTAATTCTGAATTATGCTCATTAAATAATTCATTTCATACCACATTCATTGGGTAAATCTTTTTCGAAAAAAATTTATGATAGGTATTAGGTCAATCAAACATTGCACAGTTCTTAAATTTATCATTTCCAAGTATAATCCATATTTAACCGATCATATCTCGAAAGCATAGTTATTTCATGTATTATACTCGATTATATATATATATGGATTGACTAACATATTATGACAGATATAACGCCCAAAACTCATATATTCAACTAGCAACGTTTTTAAAGGAATAGAATGAGTAATTGCATTGCGTTGAGAAAACAGAAACTGTTCAATGTCTGCATAAACAACCCACGAACAGAAAACATATGGAAGATAGCAGACAACCGCAAAAACATAATTCAAAAGGAGTATTGTTGAACCTCGTTGCTGTGAGGTCTAAACATGCAAATTCGAGTCTTGGAACATTTTTCACTATAATAGCAAGATATCTATAAGATTGTCACAAACAATTTTTGGGACTCCCGTAGTATGTGTACCAGGTTAGAGTTAGGCCCTAATTTTTTTCCGATTTTCCTTATTTCAGTTTTATTCCGAGTTCGGGGACTGTTTGTGTTAGCTAAGTGAATATCCCCCTTTCCCATAAGCTTTCCCCCTTTTATACAACTTGATGTAAAGTAGGCAAACAAAATTAGTTACCTCCATACTTCTGTAGTGCCCAATTTTTTATGAATTACTTACTATTTTAAATATTTTAATTTTTTATGAATCAATATTTTTGAGGAAAGTAGGTAGATTTTGATTTTAATATTACAAATGCTTTTATTAAATACAGTTACCATAAGCATTGTATATGCCAAGTTGCTATCTGACTTTTGATAATGGTATTCTGTTTACTGAAAATACAGTGGTAGCCTTTGATTTGCTTAGAGATGACTATGAGTTTACCTCTGAGTGTGTGCATGTTACTTTGCATTGACAGAGTGAATTCTCGTTGGGACAAAGTCATTTTAATATGAACTTAAATACTTTTCAAATAATACTTTCAAACATTCCCCATAGAATATATAACAAATTCAAAGAAGTAGACTTACTGGTATCTTGAAGAAATTTCTGGTATACTGGATAAATAGGACAATGCATTCAGCACCTGAAAAAATTAAAATGATAATATTCAACACATAAAATGACACTAAAATGAAAAATATAATAATTATCATAAAAATGATACGTGACAATGAAAGATATTTAAAAATTAAATAATTGAAGTTAGTGACCATGTTCTAACAGCAATATGGTATACATAGTAATCTATACATAGTAACATACTACCTACATAATAATTTAATTACATTATTAACAACAATTTAACATAAAATAATAGGTAGGCTTAGTCTTACTATCATAGTGATTAATTACCATGAACTCGACATGAATAATTAATTGAATTATTCAATTTTAATTATAATGCTGACATACCACACTGATACAGTATTCGAAATAAACATTTCAAGAAATAGATTTTTTAATATCACAGGTACTGGTGAAAAAAAGATTCACTACACCAACTGCATACTAGTATAATTCCAAAATAATTCTATATAATATGCAATATTCCGGTTATTTCATGAGGTAGGCTATTGTGTGTAACTGAAGGTTTACAATTGAACTTCAGAAAATAAACTGATCCAATGAATTGAGGAAAAGTTAAAATGAAATGAGGAAAAGTTAAATTTTTGGACCGTTAAAACGAATAATATTCTGCTTTTGCCAATTGCTTAAAAATTCAATATTCCATACTTGAATAACATGTCACATATTAATAATTAAATAGAGAAGCGGATAATATATCATGTCACATAAAGCTTAATTACAAGAAAATGTATTTTCTCATACACACAATGATGGATTGAAACTATAGTAGTACGAAAGGAAACTAGAAACTATAAGCCTAGGTATTGGCAACTGGTTATGAAACAAGGAAGCAACGAGATTGCCAAGAATTTATTCCCAGGCATGTTGTGTCGTTGACTCATGGCTTGCAAAATAGTAAGTCAAATTTTCGAAGTAAAGGGTCATATGAAAAAAAAAGCGAATACATTTTTATTCAAAAATAAATCTAATGATATAACCATTAAGATTAGTGAAGTTTTGTATTAACTTATCCCCATGGCTGTGTCAAAAACTTGTCTATACTCCTTATTCCAATTTTTACAGGTTTCGTATAGCATGTTGTCAGACTTTCATGAAACATATCCTAACAGAAAAGACTAGATATGAGATATTGCTATTTGTTGCAACACTCACCCATTGACTGATATTGCAAACATATTTTTTGTGAAATTGAAAATATAGTAATATCCAGTAAATTTAAAATCTTTTGCTAAATAATATAATTTTGGGCCATCTAAGATATTAGAAAATTTGCCCCAATGTACCCCCTGGTGATATAATTATTAAAAAAATATCATGGGTATACCAAATAAATAATTCAAATTTTCACGTTATCAATTTTCCCATGACATGGTTATGAGGTGTTTTCCTCAGCAAGTAAAAAGCAAGATCATAACCAAGTATTGGATAATGGCATTGTTTCATAACCAACATAGCTATGAACAAAAGTATTTCCTGGTACAGCATAAAACTACTTTCGTTTTGACGAGAGAGTCTTACATCATAAAATAAATATATGTAGAGAAAAATTCAATAATACAGTCAGAACAAGCATGGTCAATATTTGAAATCATGCCCATTTGAACATGATTAGTTATAAAGCTCTTCCAACGATATCAGAATACCCATTTTAAATATGTATTATGTCTGTTTCCTTGAATGAAAAATATTTGACCTGCACATGCACGTCACAAATAACTGCTAATTATCATCATAAGTCTCGTTGAGACGTGATCTGATATTTGTGTGATAATTGACACATAGTCTACAAAAAAGCATATCAAAATGACATGTCTGTTATTGTATACCAATAATTCTTTTATACCAGTACTTCGAAAACAAAAAAATACAGCATTAAAATAATAACAAAGTACTAACAATTATCAAAACTGGGGGTGGTTTCTAAGCAACCCATAATATGATCTTCCAATAAAAATAAATCAGAATAAACAAAAATTCCAACTCATAATCTATATTTTTTTAGTTTGACCCAACAATTGGGCAAATTTACCGATTCAGTATAAATGTAATTTGCAGTTGAATAAGTCACAGTATCAAGTATGTTCAAACATTTGTGTATCAAATTTGATATTTATTGCCGTAAATATTAAATATCAGATTGAAACAAAGATTTTATCAAGATACAATTTAAATCTGGACACATTTTATTTTTTAAACAAAGAGAAATCTTTAGGGAACCCGTATGTGCGTGTGACATTGTAATTTAATAATAAAAGCAATCAAAATTATAACTTTTCATACCTTTTCAAAATTTGTCATCTGATAAAGATCTTGGGCATTGAACAATTCAGCTGCTGGGATCCTGAAGTAGCTATGTAATGCTTGGATGACAACCCGAATATTCTGCATGCACAAAAACTAAAAACATACAAAAATTTTGATTAATACTTTTTATAATCATAATTTTATCACCCAGAGGATGGAACTCCAGATAATGTAAATTGTTATTTTACAGGCTCATTTTTCATAATATATCAATATTTTGTTGCATAAGAATGAATTCGGAATTCATAAATCAAATTGAGTTATTAAATTGTATCAATCTGACCCATTGAAGTACGCTCCTAATAACATAGTAATTAATTGCAGGGAAACAGGGAAAATTTACACAGACTCCCAGCTATTTGAAAACAACTCTTGCTCAGACTGTCAACTTCTGATTGACAATGATTTTGATTCAGACACAAGCTGCCAACTCTGAGAACCCTGATAAAATGCTCAAGTCAATTTAGTTTTCGTCGGAAATTTGGACTTTGATCTATAATTCTTATTAGAAGTCTAAAATTTTGATTCCTCCTCCTAAAAAAAGCTCCATTATCAATAATGATACGACAAACTACGACTCGCCACCCCATGCTTTATAGAATATTATATATCTCAATCCCATACCTCGGACATTTGAGCTCGAAAATTGATTTGAGATTCATCCACAACTCCAGGTGCAATAATATTGAGTGTATTACAGAGTACAACTCCATCTCGAAGAGTTTGTGCCAAATCAAAAACGACAGAATCAGGATAGCGAGCCTTATGAGTAGGAGGCAAGGCTCCTACCAAGACCAACCATTCCACACACTGACGCCAAAGTTCATCCCGGTTCATCTTTGATTAGTAACACAGTAACACTGCTGAAGTTCTTTTTTACATATTTTTCAAAATTCAATATTATGAGATGACCGAGCTGATTTATGTGATATAAAATATTCAAAATTTAATGTTTAGTGAATTAAAATGTCATGGCTAGCAATTCATATGAGCTATTATAGGATGTGATCATTTTACAACAAGCACTACATAACTCTAAATTAATTATTGATACAATTTGTTAACAAGTCACATATTGTTAACAAAACTCAACAAGTCATGCTTATTCAAAAGCAATATGCTTTTTACCTCGTCATTCAAGCCCCCCTATCGCGTACAATCTCGGTATCTGCCTTATTACACAGATTTTGGGGGTCAGTTTCACAACACGACGTAAGTACTTCTAGTTGATGTGACACAAGTATTTTTGCATATGTTATTCCTAACCCCCACCTGACTACATAATTCAAAAATTTGTTACTACGATGTCATTGTAACGTAAAAAGGCCTTCCAGACTGTACCAACTGTCATCCAAGACGCGCAGCCGATCACCCAAAATCGAGCAAGCTTTTTCTCTCGTTTTCTCGTCGTAGCAATCTCGATATTAAAGATATCGCTGGGGTTAGTGAGTTCGTTATCGTTGGCAAAGATGCCATTTCGGGAGATCGTAGCTATACTTTGGCAAGCTCTCTGATTATGAAGTCATAGTGAAATATTCTTCGGATAACAGAGACAGGTGGGGGTTAGGAATAACATTTGCAAAAATGGTTGTGCCACGCCAAATAGAAGCATTGCATCGTTTAGTGATTGTTTGCTGATTTTGGTGCTTTTAGCTACCATGTGTTTAAAATACAATGTGCTAGGCCTACCTCGAATTCATTTACACATTGATTACTGCATGTTACGGTGTGTGTTTATGGCTTGTTTGCCGCATTAGTACTGGGAATGTATAACTCTTGAGTAACAAATCAAAAAGTGTCAAGATTTTTTTTAAATCTAGAACAATCAGACTGTGTGCAACAGGACATATATCAGTACGGCACAGTTTTCCAATTCTAAAAATAGTCCTCTCATTGGAAGACATCAATTACAACAGTGAGTGCAAACTGCAAACTCCTCTTTTATAAGACAGTCTGGGCCTCCATATATCGGCAAACCAGCATTGTGCAATAAACAAAAAGAAGGCGCAATCTAAAAACGTCAGTACGTCACCATTGGATACTTTGAAGAAAAATAGTCTGATTCACTGAAGAAAAAAAGATTAATCGCACATAATTTAGCAAAAAAAACACAATTCTAGTCATGATTGTGAGGCCGACGCATGGTACGATTAATTCAAGTTGTTATAGAGACAAGCATATGCCTCATTCCAGATGCCCTCGTTTCAGAGACAGATAGTCTAAGTGTCGGAACATTTTGGAATCGAAGAACAGAACCCTGGGAATTATTCAAAAAAGTTTCATTCAAAAATTTTGTATTTGAGGTACCGGTAATTGATGTCTCACAGTCAGACTGAAAAATAACTTTTGTCTAATTCCTGAAAACTATGGACCTTTCCCCGAGCATCGACTTCCTTGTTTACTTTGTGACATAGGCCAATCAGCAAGATGCAAAAAGTGACGTAACAATGCTCCCTTTTCGCATATGCTCAGACACTTTTTTCACTCAGACAGATTTTCAAGCGTGGTCGTAAACATTACTGCATTACCTCGTTTTCGCATTTTTGATTTTTATTCGTTAGTTTTCAGTTGTGTTTCGAAAACTTAAATATAAATCAGATAATTCAATGATCACTCTGTCTTTCTAGGAATTTTTATTTAATTGCAGTAATAAAAAATTAGTGTAGAAATAGCTGTGATAAGCTAAAAATTCTTTACCGGTACTTGTAAAAAACAGATTGTTGTATGCGATGCATCATAATGAGGGTTTGAAACACATACCCCATTTTACAGGCGACAACTCGCAAAAGCACTCTTATAATAGCCCCGAAAATTTTGCAATGGTATAGTATAGGAAGAATTTTTTGGGGGGTCAAAGGTCGGGGAAAGGTCCATAAAAAATGGATAATTTGAAAGTGGAAACTCATTAGTGCATTGAGTACACATCAATTTCCAAATGTTGTCTGTTAAACATGACCCAACTTGGAACATTATAGTCGTTTATATGTCAGTATTTGCTTGACCACCCCCGACCCGGAAATTTAGTGTTTAATGCAATCGCACTCAAACATTAGAACATAGCAATGTCCCCACATACAGACATAGATATATAACTAATGTCTGCATGTTATAATGCACTATACTGCTATAGCTACATTTCAATACATTTATAATCAGATACCGGTACGGGTAATAGCTTCGACAAAACTATGTGCCATCTAACATGGGCAAAGTAGGCTACCGTACATGGCCTGACCTGACCCTGTTTCAAATACCTTGCCCACCCCTAATTCAGTAATCTATAGTGTTCAACATGCAGACATACAGTAATTTAATGTAAACAGTAAACTACACATTTCGTTGGTAATGAATAACAAACTCATGGCAAATATGAACTAATAGTTACCGTACAGACAGACAACCCCATCCAAACGCTGTAAGAATTGCAATACAATATCTCATACACTAGCCGAAAATACAAAGAAAAACATGGACCCATCTGTCTGTTGAGTGTTGGTATAATCTCATCATAACTATTGTGTTTTTATGACTAGGTACGTACCTCCTGACCTCTGTTACCGGTACCACAAATGAATTTAAATTGTGTACTGTACCGTACCTCTGTGGCTACGGTACATCCAGACATCTGTATATACAGACATACAAACCACAGACCGCTACCGGTACCGTACCTAAATAGTCATTTTGAAGTGATATTAAATAGGCTTGAAGGGACCATTACAGATTTAGCCAAGTTGGAACTCCAGATTGACACCTGGCGACCGAAAATATTCACACTCCTGATTCGATCCTGTTTGTAGAAAACCCTGCCGTTTAAAGGCCTGACTTTTGTTTGTGCTCAACACTAATGTGGGGGCAGCATAGGTTAGGCTGTTGATTTGTTATATACACATATTATTAAATTGTTCTGGTGCTTCGTTTTCCTATGTTTTATAATAGTAATAATTAGAAGCATCTGTATTAATATATATATATTCATTAAGCTGAATCAGCATCGTAGGTGTCGCTGCTCGACGACCGAGAGAGAGAGAGAATTTTATTGTTTCGTCAAACCAGAAAACACATACAATATATATATGATAGCAAAATGAGAAAAATTAGATTTCGGTAGATGACAGGGTGGTAACGATACGACCATTAACAGTCATCTGAGTCGGTTACCACCCAAAGCAAGCACATGAATAAATAAATTAATAACACAGGTTCTGTAATATTACACTCTCAGGATATACATATGGAAAAAAAACTATATACACTATGTAAAAAAAAATGATATCTAATTAGAGATGAGAAAAATTTCTAATCGGGATTAGGAAGTTATTAAATAAATTTTAAATAGAGAGGAGCAAAAAATAGGAATTCCATACCAAATTTATTATTATTTATTATATTAATTTACACTTTCAATCTGTTCTGAATCTTTTGCGCTTACACATGATAAAATATGAGGGATATGATCACAGGGAAATTGAAGGTTCTATGAGTGACAATAATGTGTTGTGTGAAGAAAACCTTCACCGACCTTTCGAGGTCCCTCGCGATTCCTGTCACACATTTGAAGTTCTTCTTTTTTGTTTGCTTTTTATTGTGTTGACAAATAAATGATGATTGATTGATTGATAGCCGACAAGCCATCTTTCCGGCGAAGGCCGGTGAGGTGAATGCGCTTCATTTCTCATGTAAATGCACTCTTACATAGGGTGTATCAAAATGTCGTGTCCCACTTGCCCCACTTGTTTCCATTATATCGTTGAGTATTGAAGTTCTTTCGTTTCGAGGTCAGAAAAATGTTTATCTGGAGAAATTTCGCATGAGCAGGAATTTTCGTCTGCGTTTAATATTATTGAAAATCATGCTTTGACTTTAGATGCACGTTTTATTCACGCTCGGGACCAGATGAGTTGCGAGGTGCGACTCTCTTACGATGTATTGAAAGTAAATCTAAATCAAATTTAAAGACGGGCTGCATTTTTCTACCTACGATAAAGATCGCAAACAAAATCAAAACTAAAATTCAACTCGCGACCCTCGCCAATGTCCGCTTGTATGAATGTTAGTTAATTTCAGAGAAAACACTTTACTCGCCTAAAATTGTTAACCGCAGCGGGGCGACAATTTGCGTAATCTTATTACTTATCGATCTTTAGACATCTTATCTTGGATGAATTATGTCGTATAATTAGCGAGTTATTAATTAATTAGTGATGGGACACGCGGTGTCCCTATAGAGTCATGAATCGAAACCGCAGTTTCGATCGATAAGTCTTCGGTCTCTTGTCTGATATTCTTGTTTTGGTTTCGCGGATCGGGATAGATCGTCGCTCTGCCGCATGAGTTATCCATCATACTTCGGACATATGGAATGATTTTAGTAAAACCGATTCCGTTATTAAATGTCATTTACGTGACAAAATTCAGTATTCGATATGCAACTTCTGCTTCGAGATACCATAAAGAAAAACAGCATCAACTGTGACCCAGAGCTGCTAGCTCAATGTATGATGTGATATGAGTGTACCATCAGATAATGCATTCAACACGCCCGGAAATATTATTAATTCAAAGCGTCAGTCACATTGTCAAATTTTCGTAATCAGCAATACTAGTACTTCAATTATTTTGTACATTTTCTTGGTGTTGCATGTTTGACTGTATACGAGACACTAATAAACTCATAAGCCTATATGTCGACAGTCATGTTTTGTCGACGCATACGTGCATGCCAGCTATTCCACGAAGGATGATAATGCCGATGGTGAACCAGTCTGTATCGAGAACTTTTTGCTTTCAATTAATTGTATTTTGTTGTGTATAGTTTTTATGTTGGACGAAACATAATAAACTCTCTTTCAGATGTTCCCACTGACATTGTGCAGTGGTGAGGTTTCACTAATAAGTATGCTCGCCAAGTCTGTAAGCCCTCAGGAGATTCTATGTGCTGAAAGTCACACAATACGTCCGATAGTAGGATGCCGTAAGTAAATAACTTTATTTTTCAGCAGAAAAGCGCGGACTGAACAGGTACAATATGTAGCAACAAACCCACATCTGACTTGAACGAATGAAACAACGTGCTAATACGGGCTTACGTGGACTATGTGGGTATTCGGAGTCATACAAGAATAGTCAAATTCATCCTATTGGGAAATATATCAGTCGAAACCACGAATCCGACTCTGCATACGACAGTAAGATAAAATTAACGGAAAAAAAAAAGATTTCAGTTCCAAATTCTAGCTGTAAGTATCCGAAATGAAAATATATATAAAATTATTTCCTAGTGTATAGAGTAATTTTTCCAATTAGTTCGTTAAATAAAGTTAATATGCGTTGATTCCGGGTCACTTCTTTTATTACACAAATGTCAAGATCAGTCGACCAGAATTAAATTTCGTGATCCGATGTATATTGTACTTTTGTACTCTAGATCGTGAAATATAGTGATTATGCGTAAATACCGGTTGACTGAACATTTTATTACATATACGGTATTTCGCCGAAAATAAGACCTACCCTTAAAATAAGACTTAGTCAATAACGCGATCTTTTTTTTACCCAGTCGATAGCAAGAAATCTTTCCTACACGTTTTAAATGAATGAAAATTTATGTTTTGCAGTTATTTTGAATAACAGCGTGTTAATTATGGGTAAATGAATATTAGTTTTCATATTTTGTATATTTAAAAATCTCGTAATTCTCTAATTGAAATTTTGTTTTTGATAAATGAAAATATAAGACATCCCCCGAAAATAAGTTCTGTTATTTTTCGAAAGAAAATTGAAACGAGAATATCGATAATAAAATCGATGAGTAATAAGACCCAGTATTATTTTCGGGGAAACACGGTATGTATGTCCTAAATTAAGTACTGAAATAGGATTAACGTGAAAGACTGCGACTCATTCAGTCATCAATACTCTGATTGTAATTGTGTGGTTGTTGAGATTTTAAACCTTCTTGATATGTTGGGGTATTTAAATACTGCTTCAAAATAAAAAACTCACACCATTTTATGTTATAATGCTTACTGCAAATTTTATTATCTGATTACATTTACGTCAGGAAGGCTAATCAAAGAAATAAAAAAGAATTATAAAAGGTTGACAAATTGACATTATAGTCATAATTATATAAAAATCAGCATGCATTGATATATAGTTGACATTTTAACTCACGTCCTGATAATATGAAACATTTCATGGGTGTCAACATATCAATTAATGCTAATTAATATAACGTTATAAAATATATTTGTGGTATAGTGTCACGTAATAAATAAAGAAATCAGATTAAAATAAATATTAAAATAGTTACCCTAAAATCAGTCCAACTATATCTAAATATGATAATACGTAAATAAATGTATAATAATTTCACACTGGTATGTAATACCTATTTCCAATATCAGTTTTGTATATATGTTGGAAATATTTTTATTTTCAACAGTACTTATCAACTGAACTTTTATATTATGAGAAACAATTTTTCAATATGTTCGACAACTTTGAAATCATCTCCGAAAAATTTGAAGCTGAATTGATTTTACTGAGTCTGCTGAATTATTTGATCTTAATCTGACGGAGAGGTGCCTCTCTACCATGGTGATTTCCTATTTTTAGTTCAACTGAGTCATTTTATCCACTTCAAAGTCAATTTATTATTAGATATTCGCATATCATGAATCATACCAAATTTCCATAAAAAAGAAAGGTTTCCAATATGAAAGCCTAAAAAAAGGATGTATGAGGCAAATGTGGTTTATATGCCAAGATTTCTTTTTGTAATATTTATAGAGTTGCCTATGGGTACAGCTGCAAACAATGTTAGTGGATCAGTCAGTAACAAAAGAATAATGCATTTCTCAGGTATTGTTACACTACTGATGAAATTGTGCATGACACACTGACAAAGAAAAGCCGAAATTTTCAAGTGGTATTGATATTTAGCACAAATGATTTCGCATGAAAAAAAAACATTGCAAATAGTGAAGAATAAAAGAAATTAAGTTCAAAAACCAACATAAGTAAAATAAAATGAAAAAATCAGATGGGAGCATTAATTGATTAAAGTGTTAAAAAATTGAAAAGCAGACTATCGTTGCCTACCTTTCACCGAAAGTATGAACGTAATGTAACTGGTTAAAAATATTGATAAATATTAATAATGTAACAGAAGAGTATTGTGCTGACTCTCATTGCAAGCGCGCAAGGTACTTTATCCATCCATTCACAACAAGCTAACAGTTTACTCAGCTGCTACTTTATAGTCGCGCGATGCTATGGCGGATAATGCTATAGAGTCGGGTATATGATATCCACAGTTACGAATTAATTAGCATGGGCCCATCCTTGGACCCAATGTAATAATATAGATAGGTAGTCTCGTAAAAGAAGTAATAAGGGTTTGTCAATTATATCGTACACATCTCCATATGAATGCCATTGTTATTAGGGTAAATGTAAAACAGCTGATATTAAAATTATTGCGTTGATTTGTTTATTATACCCTCACGAATGTTTGCGCTTTGTTCTGTTCGTTAGTTGTGCACCTTGAAGTCACCACATGTCATTTAACGTTTCCGTGCCTCCATTCTTCAAATAGAGAGTGTGCATTGCTATTATATTAAAAATTCTCTTTATTATAATGAAAAGTGACTTTAGCTGATGAATGTGTATTGCATTTTTTGTGTAAAATTGTTGATAAAGCAGGAGCACCACAGAAAAATACGCCCACTTCACTGCCCGAATGAGTGTTTGCAATTTTTGTGAAAATTTCATCCCAGTTCGGCCTGCCAAACTGAGTTTTTTGTCTAAGTCCAGTAATTACATCATGTTGATCCTCATCGTGAATGAATATTTCTTTTCCCTGACCAACAGTCCATCCTCGAGTAAGATATATGTTATAGTCTATCAGGTCTTGTTTGCCACTCTCTAAAAGTTGATTTTCTAGATGTTTTAGCATGTCTCCAAACCACTCAAAAGCATGGGTATCAGGACATATCCAAAAGAAATACACCTTTTTTAACCTCAACGAATCACTGTTGTCCAAATTCTTATAAAACACAGATTTTAGCATCGAAGCAAACGGTGTCACACCGATTCCAGCACCAACACATAAAGCGATGTCATACTCGAATACGTCCTCACTCGCAGTCCCGAACGGGCCATCCACAGCAATTCGTGGCATTTTCCAAGCAGGTTGAACCTCCTGATCATTCACATCCGCCCCGACAGCTTTGCTGAGATCAGCAGTCCAGTCACCAGCAATACGTATGTGAACACTAAAATATTTTTCCTCTGGAGCAGAAGTAAGCGTAAAGGGATGCCACTCCAGAAAAGATAATTGTGGGCATTGTATGAAGACATACTGCCCCACTTCCGCTTTAAAATTTTTCTTTCGCATTTGTAATTCAATAACTCTTGATGGATGCTTAACAACTTTCAGAACTTCTACCATCTGAAGAAACCTCGCAAATCGTAACACTCTTTCAAAGGCATATAATGCCATGGGTCCAATTACCCACTTCCACGTCCCTGGTGGATTTCCAGCAAACTGTGGCGTGGTTGAACATTTTGTGTCACTGGGCCAATCATCTATATCGATTCCACTGCAGTAGACTGGGTCGTGTTCGTTAACATTTGTTTGACCTCTAACTTGTCTTCCAATACCATGAACAACAAGAAATCCAAAAAATATAATGAACAAATGGTGTGTGAACCAAAATACCTCAAAATATGAACGACGAATGAACTCAGTCGAAGATGCCACCATGAAAAACAAAGCGGTAGTTATAATAACACCAGTCCAGCCTCCTGTAAGTAGAAACACAGATCCAATAGGATAGGTGGGTTTTCGTATTGGATCGAGATAGGTTTCGTTTGTTCCGTCTCCCAATGTCGCAAGTTTCACAATCAATGCACTGTTTGGTTTAGAACCTAGCTGAACATTGTATGCGGTAGAGTAAAATTGAACGTTGAATGAATGCGAATAGTAATGAACCATTGTCATTATGACAATCATGTATGCACACAGTCTGTGAAATGTGATATTTTTGTCAAGAACTCGTCTCATTCTTCGTGGACAACACACACACCATCCTCGAATTAAGGATAACATATTTCGACAGACGGGAAGCAATATCAGCATACAATTGAAATTCAAGCAGGCAGCAGATCCTCGGGCTACAGCCAAACCGGGTCCAAGCAAAACTCTTGTGTAGTAGAAATTAATACCGGTATCATACATTTGATAATAATATGCGAACATGAATCCATTGAGTCCGAGCCAGATTGTGAGCACCAAATACTTTGGTAAATCATTTACCAATACACCTCTCATAGTATTATGCTTTTACACTAAATATCTGATTAAACAAAGAATATCGCACATGCATTAGAACCATCTTCAATATATCGGAATGCATTGAGATTAATAGCATTATTAATACTGGCGAGTTATTATAAAATTCTGACATGTTATATACGGTAGCGATTACGTAAAGTAAAATCATCAAAACTTGACCTTGATAGGAAAAGTACAACAAATCATGTATCTGGGTATTTCCCTCCTGTTGAAATTGAATAGCCTTCAACATAATTTTTCCAACTTTTTTACAAAAATGTTAGCTGCATATTACGAATAAATCTGTCACAAAAATTTCAACGCTGTAATTGAATGGGGATATCGTCTGCTGATATGCCACAATACAATCTCAGCCTAACTCGTCCTGAAGTAACACCAAATTTAACGAGTGTAGAATAGCCATATGCCTCGGCCAGATCGCCAATCTACACTTTGCCCTGGGGCAACGGTGGGAATTACTTCAATGAGAAAATGTGTGCTCGGGTCACAAAATAATTGCAAATTGATTTTATTTCATAATAGCCCTTCCTCTGTTTTTTTTTTATATTTACTTTACAATGTTTGCTAGAAAGCCTGTTCCTTGCGTCTAATCTGCCTCGCCCAAAACGAAGACAAACTACGCTTATTGTGTGTGACTTTTGATGACGCCAACCTACCGGAAACGCATATTTCGTTGCGCTATTTTCTTCAGATACCGATGACTGTCTTATATTTATTTATACGATTGCTATACTTTTATAGCTGTCGATTTGGTAATAGATTTTGCAAAGAATAACACTCGAATTTCACAGGTTTGCTCTCCTGACGGATCATCTACTGCTGCATATTACTCTACTATCGGCTTTGTCTTAACTATATGAGATCACGATTACTTGCATTCAAATAATCGTATCCTGATTGGTAAGAATATGTAATTGTGGCAAAATACACCAGAAGTCATGCACATTTCAAGTTCTTTCATCATTCGTAATTGAGTCATTAACGTAAGGAAACGGCGCGCCGGTAAATTCACTGAGCCGCAACCGCGCGTTCTATCGCGATACGTCCTTTCGTGACTCTGGCCTACAAAAATTCTACGTTTTCTTGACATTTTATTGATAAACAGAAATTGCGTGCCACGAATATAAATACCAGACTAGCAGTGAACCGAATATGCTGTGATCTATTATTAGTAAAACTAGGTGATTTGTTCCCACGTTGACAAAGCGTAGAAAGAACTATGACACAGGGCTGCCACTTTTGTCAGAATAAAAACATCTAGATTGACCTCAGAAAACATCGAAAAATATCGAGATTGGAAAACAAAACAAGAGAGTACAAATAGTTCATTCAGGCATATACTTCAAGTTTTATCAATCTCACATCTAAGTCTAAATACTATCTGTTTCACAATTATACACATCGTTTTTTTTATTTCCCACTGAATACCGTAATATTCAGAAAGGTGAAAAAAAATATCTAGATTTTACAGCTAACATATCGACTCCAAATTTTACATCCAGATCTTGAATAAAACATCTAGATCTAGCTATAAATATCTAAAATGGGAGCCCTGATATGACAGTACCATTTGTATACCATTCGTACCGTTCTGTGACTAACATTTGGTAACCTATTGTAGATCCACCTATGTCATCTGTTAGCTTGTGTCTCTCAGATATACCTTGCTCAAACATTTATATACGCTCAATAGTAATACGTCAAATTGTGTACATTGTATGGTCCCAATGGAATTCACTAATGTAAGGTTAAACATACAGAAAGAACTCAGCAAATAGAATATTCCAAATCCAAGCAATCATTATATGAAAGTCAATTTTTTGAAATTTCACAAAAAAAAATCATCATCTTTAAATACTCCGCGTAAAATGATGTCATATTCCTAATATAACCCGATTAAAGTGACGTAAAGCAAATATAAGACACTGCACAATTAGGTATATGGCAATCAAGTAGTTATTTACGGGAAAGGCCATAGCGACTGAGACTATATATTCACTTATATTTTTAACTTCTCAATAGTACAACCTTTTGGGACTTCAATTTCATTAGATGTCTATATACCAAAAATGAGATAACTGGAAACAGTACAAAAAGGATAGTACTTTTAAATGGTGAAAAATTTAAAATCATCTTATCAAAATATTTTAGCAGTGTAAGCTAGAAAATTCTGACGAAGAAACCTGGTGAGAATATTTGTTTCGAACCGTTGTTTCTAATGTAAAGCCAAATCCGAACCATGTCCGGCCGACAAACTTAACACTTCTTAAATAAATATTATTAATTATGATAAGCAGAGCATTATTCTGTAATTATTTTTTTTTTTTTTTTGATTAAATCAAGTATTATTACCAACGTGTGGTAGTTATAAATGAGTTATGAGTAAGTTAATTATGAGTTTTATTCAAGCGTATGTGACCTTGCAAATTTTCACAGCAGAATTTTCCGTTGTATTGAGTAGCTTTCATCTCAGTGAAAATACCCGCTCTTCATGGGGACGTAAATATGAAAAATTGCTCCGTCGCCATTTTTTAGCTTAATGAAATGGCCGAGACGACGATTGAGTACCTTCCGCAATTTAGGTAAATAAAGAAGTTCTCAGAACAATACAAGTTTCCCTTGTTTGCACAGTATAGATTCAAAGAATACACCATATATGAGCAAACAAACTGGTGTAATTCGAGCTCCTAAGTTATAAATGCTGCGAAATCGTGGCGAACATCACGAATACATCGAAATTCGTAATTTTGTTAGGGGGAACTTGTGAAGAAAGCTCAATTTTCTGGGAAGCTTTATACCAAGAATACTTCCGTTGCTTGAGTCTACGGAACTCTAAATTTCATAATCCTTTTTTTTGTGTAAAAATCTCTAGCCTAGGAATGATAAGGATTAATAGTACTTTATATTATTCATATTCTAATTACCAACTTTGTAATAAAATGGCTCCATTTTAATATTGGGTAAATGACTTACTTTAACTGTGTTGATAGCACAATGATTTCGAAGCCGTACTTCATGCATTTTCATCTTTAAATATAAGCTGAAGTGATAAAATGTGTCGCTAAAATTGATGACATGAATAATTCTTTTTTTGGATTTGTAACGCGAGCTATGTTAAATTTATATGTTATAGGCGTTAGCGTGGAAGAAAGTAAGCGACGCGTAATTTTCCTACAAACAAATTTATGACGATTTTACTTTGAACTGACGTCGCCGAGTTATCGTCAAACTCTGAATGGATCTAAAAATTAAATGCACACGACACATCATTGGGATTTAGCCTACATATACAGATTAACAAAAGACAACTGCAAAGACCAAAATTGAAGTGAATTATACCAGTCAATATCTTTAATAGGTTAATGCGTTTAATTTGAATTGTAAGATTCTCTACTTTTCAACCAGGAGTAAATAACTACCATTCTTAAGAATGAAATGACATCATTCAATTACTACTAACAAAATAAACGAGAATGGAAACCACCTCACGATAATTTACAAAGACACACAGTTATATAGCGGATGGATACTGGAAATGAATGGGAAAATGTATCTCCGTTCATCCGTTTCCTAAGTAAGATATGCTGTTTGCATTGTTTGAAGTAAACGCCTGAACGGTTGGACCTATATCGAAGAGAGCAGTTCAAATGCTCTTATCATTGGAGTTTATCGAACTTAACTAGCTCGATGAACTGTTGACTCGGGAATAGATGGGGTTCCTGTTAGGCCTATAGTTAAAAAGTAATGTAACGACAAAGAATAATAACATATAGTTCTGCACTAAAGTCATGGCAGTTTCTATGAACGATGTCGCTTGTTACGAGAATACACAGATTAAAATGACACAGATGATAAATGGTTGCTGTATTTCAGTGTTTTACAAACTTTTCTGAGTCGTCTATCTGTCTAACATCAAGAAATTTGAAAATTTGCTGTAGCTCACACGCGACATAATAGTGACGATAAAGTGAGACGATAAGTTTATATTGAAATCGATAGATTTCACTTGATTCTAGTGGACCATGTGAGTTACAGGAAGGTAATTACTAAATTTTCTGACATATAGACAGCATTTTTTGTAATACTGTTTAGTCTAGTTGCAAAAATCACCCGGCATGAATTATATTGTTAGGCCATAACATTAATATTTAGTTATCTAATCAGGCATAGCCAACTTGGGCTAATTGAATCCGCATTCGATTTTTAGTTTTCTATGATGCTAAAATTTTTAGCATATATTCCCGACCAAAAAGATAGAAAGCCAGATAACAATTTAGACTGCCAAACACAGCATTCTACTTCGTGCCAGTTGCCTTAGCTAGCCATAACACTAGTCAATTTAGTGACATTAGTGATGTAACAATATGTCAAAAGATGATGCATCATTTTTCTGGTTAATTTTATGACGAAACAATACCAAATGCGATTTTTTGATCATCTCCGAATGCGACGCTGGCCCGCGGCCGTTGGTTTGCCCCATTCTGCTCTAGACAAGAGAGCAATGCTCAAGGTGGCTCGTATAACGATATTTTTTTTATTCGCAAGACAGTTTCTCAAAAGATGCCTTCCAGGCAATTTCTGTTTCGTGTTTTTTTTATCTTTATCCCCGTAGTATTTGATCATCACTATCTAGCTATTTCCCTAGGCTGTATATTTGTTCTCGTTTAAGTGATTCCCCCGCGAGATGGTCGACCCTTCAGAACTTAGCAGACGAAAATGCGGGTAGTCACTCCGAGGTTGCTGTGACAGGAGGTGACTAAATGTGTTTTCTATGCTTGTTTATTGGTATTAACTCAGTAGCACATAAATACCTATATATGGTAATACGCCAAATTATGACAATATCTGTCCCCAATAGAAAATAGCGCTGGTATCTGCGCATACTTGTCTAGAATTTCTGAAACGGTGCTCACTGTCTTGGTAGCATTGAAACTTTTGGGCATAAAATATAATTTTATTCATATTTACTTTATCCTGTACTTTTGATAGGAGAAATTTATTGAATCACATCGAATTTATTTGATTGGACCAAAACCCAGTGATGATATTTTATGATTAGTGCATGTATTTTAATTAAAATTTCATACCATCTTCAGAATCACTTTCAATAAGCGACTTGAGTGATTCTAAAGAAAACCATATAAATAACAAAGACAAAGGTTGTAAATCGAAGCCAAAAAAGCTTTTGAATAAAGA